CCCAAATCATCGCCACCGGAGCCTCGATGCCGAAGCCAGCAGGATAGGCTTTGGAAGCTTCGAGATCTCGACCTCCGGCCTTATAAGGCTAGCCCCAGTGTGATATCATTATAAGACACGGCTAGAGCTTCAAAGCCATATTGCAAGGACCTGATATTCTGCACATGAGACACCGACGCACTTGGACTGCCCCTTGGCATTCTTCCAACGGACGACATTCTGGATTTTCAGGAAGCTTCGAACTCGTCGCAGATGGCACCTGACATATGGCTTAGACTTCTACCACGAAAGGTACCCGATAGGATCTACTGTCGTGGGTTCGTCAAAGTCGAGGTTTCGTGCCCAGCCTGCGTTCTTTGTGCAAGGTCCTCCGAAGCTGTCGGAGCCCTTCCCAATTTCCAACCAACGTGACCTCAGATAAGACAAATTGTCTTGATGTGGCACACAGCTGAATCCCGAACCTCTCAAACACATCTGCCGTCCTGGGGGCAGCCTTAGGGGTTGCCGACCCATAGCATCCCAGGTGTATGGTCACTTTCATGAACTTCATCTTCCGAAGCAGCTTCTCGGTTGCATGCAGACACAAAATGATCCACCACAGCTGGTGCAATTCGAACTGATTGAAATGCTACGATGGAGCGCAACATTCTTTGCCAAAGCTCCCGGAGAGGCACATATCTCCAAAGCAAGGTCGAACTGGGGTTCTCAATGACAAAATTGACCTTTTTGGCCAGTGCATATTTCAGCCTTAGATGAGGATCGCAGTGTTGTGGATCGGTTCTTAATTCGGTGCTACTATATGATGCTGCTTAGGAGCAAATAGCACATTCGGCGACAGAGGCGGTTGCCCATAGCACATTTGTTGCCCAGGCCTGCAGATGTCGATACACGAAATCCCCCAGCTGAGATACTGCTATGATGCTGCCGACACTGCTCCTTGCGGTCGCAGCCAAGATCTTCTCGATGATCCCCGCGACCTTGGCCGACCATGCAGAGAGACTCAAGCATTAGGTGGATGAGTTCTTTACACACATAAATACATATACATAGGCGCACAATTGTGTGCCTATGTATATGTATCTATGTGTGTAAATTAATTATGTGTGATATATGTAATGTGCTGGTCCATGCATGCATGTGTAGACGTCAATGTAGCAATATATGTACACACACACATGCATGGTGCAACCACTATTCTTCTTACTGCGGGGAATAGGAGGGTGTGTGTATGTACAAACAGGTCTTCTGTATGTGTGTACATATTTATATACGAGGATTAAGGAGTTATACATGCATGCCGGTACGGAGCTACTTGTTTTGCTTCGGTGTATTTATGTCTCTCTCCAAGATAGACGCATTGTACAAAAATATGTGTTGTGGTCGCGCGAGTGACAATATATGCGCCTCATGCGACATTCAACGGCAAGCGAATGCGGTCATGCCATGCAGTCGGCCATGGAACATGCTCGGAATCGCGAGATCTTCATGCTTGCCATGCAGTGACGCAGCAATTAAGAACATGTTTTCAAATCGCAATCCGGATGCGTTCATGCGCATGATCAGTCGCCTTCGTCCGTCCTTGTTTGTCTTCGCACATCGCTCAACCAATGCCATGCAAAGCGGAATCGGTCTTCCCATCTTGATTTGCTGAGGGCTTTGCTGCACTAGCAGTGTTGCACGTATAAATCATAAGTCGTCCGTCATTACTCGCAGATCCCGCGGCAACCATGAAGAACATAGCATGGACGATCTCTTGGCAACCTGGGAATCATTCAAGATACTGCAAAGTGTTGACCGGCCATGCACTCAGCTAGTCGTCCGTGCACCCGCATCCCAATGCCCCGAAGTATATACTACCCATAGAACCCCAAAAAAGAAGTCGTCATGCCTCATCGTTTCATCAAGACAGATTGCACAACCGCGGCACATGGCCATGAGCTAATGAATCAGCACCCTCTGTGCGGCTTTCTTGCTGGAGCTCGTCACAGAATGAGCTCATCACGTAGCTTCCTTCATTCTTAAGTCAGATAGCAGCAGCCGGCCAAACGTTACATGCGTGCTCAGGTAACTCTGCGGCTGTAGGGCGATAGCGTTGCGCACAGTGTTGCACGTAGCTGCAATAGCGTTGCGTACAGTGCATAATGGTAGCTCGAGTGTGCCGCAGTACGATGTTGCTTTGTGAGCTGCCGAGTGCTGCTAAAATCGCACATGTCTAGGACCTTCAATTACCGTTCATTATGTTGACTTCGGGGTTCCCGGCTGTTTCAACTCCAGCCCTAGTCTCGAACAACCCAAATCCTAGATAGGACCTCAGAATCTGACGTTTTCGATGATCTATGCACATGCATGCTTCCCCGAAGAGCATATTAACTAAAAGCAGAACCCCAACACCGTCGCTGTTGTACCAGATGATGCCCAATATCCTATACGTCAACCATGTAAACCTCGTACAGCCACCGCTTTTCCCAATAGCCCTGATTGGAAACTCAGATAGCATGTGTTTGCCGTCATGTGGCTAAGCCTATGTGGCACGTGTTCCCACACCCTTGAATTTTCAATATCATGCACACACACACACACACCCTCAAGCCCAACAATGAACTCAATCAAAAGATACACTAGCCAGGGCCTGCATAACCCTTATTCTGACTCGAAGCCTTGATACATAGTCCTGCAGTAATTGAACCCTACAGGATCCTATAAGATCTAAACCCGAAGCCCGGGACCCCTATAAACCCGTGCACCCAACCCTAAACCCCTGCACCCCTAAACTCCTGCAGCCCTATAAACCCGAAACCTGGTGCGGTTAGTGCGCCCTACATAATCAACACCCCGGAAAACAGCAGAAGGTGTCAGAACATACTTGCGACACTGTTACAAGCCCAAAGCCCTGCAACAATCCCAGAGTACAACCCTCTAATGTCACAGTCTTCCAAGAACCGACACGGCCCCTTCAAAGCCCCACAAAAGTCAGGAAGCACCAGAATTGAGACCTAATTCGTACACACATACAGTAAAGCTCCGACTTCTTAACCCAAGGAACTAACTGTTCCATTAGCCCAAACCCGCATGTAGCTGTATTCTCTAAACAAAGGCCGCCCCCGTATGTAGAGTTAAGACTGCGTGATCTGAGGTTACCACATGAAGACCCAACTCGAGCAGGGAATCGCAAAGAAGACGAGGCCGCCTTCGATGGTGTGGCGAACCTTAGATATATAGTTTCGGTGTTCGGTCTTTTGCTGTATTTTCCGTAAGCTTTGGAATCTGAGCGTCGAGGTTCAATGCCAGTAGAAAGCCGAAGCCACTGCAGAGATCCATTTGGGGGGATTCGATCACCTCGGGCACGTGTGTGCAATGAGTATATAGAAACTGTGGAGCACACTTAGTTTCGAACAACTCAACCGCAGCGTGTACAATGCCGAAACGACACATCGTAAGTCCTCGAAGCCAGGCCCAATGATGTAGCAGCAGCCGCCAGTGTTCCAGTTCCTCACATATATATGCCGGACTGCGTAGTTGAAAGGGTTTGTTTGGTTTGCGTCGCATGCAGGCAAGAGGCCCGCAAAAAACTCCACCAGGTGGACATACTTGTCTGTCTCCAATGGCAAACCTGCATGCAGGTTCGTGTATAACTGGCATCGACTTGCAGTGCTGATGTGGAGCAGCTGGGTATCTGGCTCGCATTCAGGCTCGTGAGGATGTAGGCCAGCACGGAGTACCGCATGCTTGCCGACTTGAAGCGTTCACAATGTAAAGCTGGGCACTGGTGTGCTAGTTTCAGAAAGCGTGCCTGACCTAGTTACAGGAGACCGTGCACACATGCAGGCAGGCTGGTGCATCTAGCTTGCGAAATATACGGACTGCATGCACACATGCATGGACACAAGCTTTGGATGCATGCCGATCGACGCCTGATTCGAAGGATCATGACAATATATCGGAGTCGCTCACTGTTTCGCCTAACCCCCGGCAGCTGTGTGATCTACTTGAAAGATGTCTCGCAGTCGTTCGTGACCGGAACAAAATGTGACGACACACAGGCGGCTTGAGGTCGCAATGAAAGAGTGTTACTTGCAATGCCAAAGCAGGATTGAAGATCGACGGATTACCAGTGCATCAAAATTTAAGCCTGCCCCATGCAACTCGTCATCTCATCTAGATTCTAGATATAGCGGCGCTTCTTCTGCTCCTTAACCGGAATGGTGGAGAGGACAGTCGTACGCTCATCGGATACCCACCACCTTGGATGCTTCGTCTATAATAAGCACGCAAGAGCAGGAATGGCAGCACACGTGTATAAGCCGACAATGCACCGATCCCTCACGTTCTTCAACTTGAGGTCCGGCTCGGTCTCCAAAAGCCTCATTCTCGAAGCTACACCATGATTGCGAATCCACGAAACGATTTGAAGCGACATCGTTTGAGCATCTATGTGCGGCTTGGTGGCTGTTCCTTGAACGACTCAAAAGCGGCTGTGTAGGGGGTTACGCTTCCATCTGGTCTGGTCTTTGCTTTGGCCTTTGCTTTTGGTTTCTTGGGGGTGCTGGTCTTTGCTTTCGCCTTTGCTTTGGCCTTTGCTTTGCTCTTTGGGCTTCCTTTGGGCTTCGGCTTCTGATACTCCACTGGCTGCTTGCTGGCCAGCACCAGCCTCTGGGCATGGGGATTGATCGGCCGGGTCGAAAGATCCGGCTTGCCAGGAGATGGATGTACCGGCTCCTTGGACTCTCTGTTTGTCTGTCTGTCTGTCTCTCTCTGTCTCTCTCTCTCTCTCTCTCTCTCTCTCTCTCTCTCTCTCTCTCTCTCTCTCTCTCTCTCTCTCTCTCTCTCTCTCTCTCGTCTATGTCTGTCACTCCCTTCCATATAAAGACATCCATGTCCAAAGCTGACCAGACTCTGGCTCCGTCGTGAGTCGGGTCTTGTCTTTCGCTGCCTATATTTACATCGACATGATACATGTACCCGGCGCGTGAACCTATACAAACCAGTATATACACACACAGCTAACCTGCATGCACATATGCATGTGGATCACTCGATTCGGTGGCATGCGCCTCCTTGGCCTCCTGCATGTCGTGATTGACCAAATCATCATTCTGCCCGTCGCCGGGTTGCTCAGGTTGCTCCTGCACCAAATCAACGGCAATTGTATTGTTTGTGCGGAAGCTAGGCGTGTGCAGTCGAGCCTCCTCGTCCAAGTCGACGCCCATGGTCTCGATGAAGCTCTCGTAGATCTCGTCGTTGGTGGGGTCCGGGAAATCCTTCCCACTACTACTGCTACTGCTGCTGCGCCGATGCCCTAGACCCAACACTGCTGATCAGATGCTCCTGCTCGAATTCATGTAACTGCAGATCGACACCGGCATGTTGCTAATTAATGCTATATGCGGTTGATGGCCTGATCATCTTGGTGCTCGTTCTCATCCATCGGCCACTCCCTTAGATCATGCAGTATATGTGTCGTCGCACTGACAACAGCAAAATTTCCGAGCGGCTCTGTCTGGCCAGGATCCATAGCCACATCCTTCGGCAGTGCTAGTACTGCTGCTGATCTATTGAATTGGAAAACCATCAATCTACTGCAATATTGACAATCTATTGCTGTTTGGCAGCTGGCAACTCCAACGAGGATCCATTCTCATCACGCCAGGAGATACTTCGATGCAAAGCTGGCTTCTTCTCAGCCTCAATTCGGCTGCTACGAACTGATCTGTCATGAACCCGTACCTCTACATCCCGAACTGCTTAACTCATTGCTGTCTGGCAGCAGGCCACGGATTCTGGGGATCTGAATCTGCAGACGCCTCGACCCACTTGTTATCCCAGCCTTCATCAGCAGGCCACGGATTCTTGGGATCTGAATCTGCAGAAGCCTCGCCCCACGTGTCATCCTGATCACCGGTAGACCATGGATTCTCTGGGTCAGCGTCTGCGACCCAAGACTCGGCTTGGCCATCATCGTCACCCCATTCCCCTGCGTGTGATCCACACATCAGATTATACGCACGGAATTAAAAGATCACCGCAATAAAAACCTGCCTGCAGGGTGGTGCAGTGCATCGTCCCCGGACTCCTTGAGAATCGCAGAAATGACTATCAATCATGTGGGTGCATGCGTTGTATGTACATGTGTATACGAATGCAAGCCTGCAGGTGCCCAGACATCCATGAATCATCGCAAAGAGCCTGCGTGCACATAGCAGTGTAGTTTTCATTGGTGATCTATATAGGCTGTAGCACAACTGGCCTTGTACTCAGCATCCTCATCATCGTTCCAGTCACCCCAGACCCTCGTGGGTGCATCCAAGGTAGCCACCGATTCAGCCGACGCAGCCTGCGTTCATGGATCATTTGGGCGACGGTGCAAAAATGACTTTACAAGTTCAGACCGCATGCATGCAATCTGACTGCAGGCACAAGACTGGATGCACACATGACCTGCTTCAGGGTTTCCGATTGGCGTTTGCAGGCCAGGCTTGAAATTAGGGCCTAATTTAGAGGCGATGCAAGCTATTTCTGGATCTCTACACGTATGTATACACACTCCTTTCTAATTTCCACCTCGTGTCCGAACTAAGTTCTTGCTTGCTGTGTCGTCTAGTTTTTCTCGTTTGTAGCGCCGTATGTAGATAAGTGCTGGTACATAATTAAGTACACATGCTATATAATGGGTGCATGCATGCACTGGGCCTTGCGCTTCAGTGCGCTTTTGCGATGAAGTCTGACCTGATTTTTACATCTGGTCGCACGCAGACAGTTCTTGCATGAAGCAGTCATGTGTATTGCTCTCGGGTGGCTGGAGGAGGATCACCATCATGTGCAGCCGGCGCTGCAGTTCTTTCCTGCAGCAGAGTATATGTCACTGATCCTATATATGCATGTCAGTTATTCGTCCTCCGTGCTCCACGGCTGAGTTTCCGCATCATCCATGGCTGCAAGGGCTTCTTTGCCACGTGGTGGCACCAACGAGTTCTTAACAGACCGTTTGCAAAGATGCTGTATCTTTTTGGATTGCCTCTTCAGCCAGTCTGCTCGAGTGAGCCCGTCAGCCTGACACAACGGCACCTCTACTTTGTAGTGGTCGAGCAGGCGTTCTAGCGCACGATTCACAGCTGTTTTGGTAAAGTACCGGGGCTCATGAACAGCACCACACCACGCAAAGGCTTGTCTGCAACACAGGTATTTCAGGGAACCCCTTGGGGCTAGCGAACCTGTCCGGCGAACCCTTTCGCCTTGATCAGGGCGCACACAAGTCAAGTGCAACTGGGCCGCTATGTGCCGAGCTTTCCGCCCGATGTCTTCGGACATTTGGCCAGACAGCTGCAGCAACATCAAAATATGCGAACGACATATCAGCGAGCATGTCTAATACTATTATTGCGTATATATTCTCTAGTAGTTGTTAAGGATTCCACGTTGATTCTGATTGTAATCATCATAATCATTGAAGCATCATGAGCAAAATGTTGCTTATGCCACACGAAAATCAACAAAATCCACGAAGAAACTTTCATCACGACACCGGAAATCAGGAAGCAGAAGCGATACTTCCAAAAGGCATATTTATAAGGACGCTTAATTTATAAGGACGCTCGGCCATATAAGGCCGGTTGACCCGTGCTGGGAGGGGAGGACGTCCCTGCCACAAGTTCGCCGCGATGTCCAAAGCTGTACCTCCAAGTGGGTTGAGCTCCCTGGCGGCGACGACGGGCGTGGCGGCGAACATGGCCATGATGAAAATGAGGCGTGCGGCTCCCGCGTGCCAACCGTTGGCAAGTGCTTTGTGACGTTCGTGTTCGGAGAGCTTGCTTGTCCATCCTTCCGGTAGGTGACGCCATTGCTCTTTGACTGCAGGAGGCGGAATCACAAAGCGTCCCTGGCTATCCGACATCATCACCCCCGCCTCGTAATGCCAAGGAGCGAAGCGTTGTCGGTCGGAGTGCCAGCGTTGGTTGGCCTCGCTGCTGATTTTGCCCTTGCTGCTGCGCGGCGCTGGGCGACCCTGAGGGTCATCGGAGGGTGTCGTAAGACACGGCAGGGGCTTGCCCTCTTCGACCAAGCACCTTGGCAGCGACAGTCCTGCGGTCTTGAAGGCGTGCGGGTCGTCCTTGTCGAGGTCGAAGTGAACTCGCGGAATACCCTGCATGGTCGTCCACCTCAAGCGAAGGGGGCAGTCGGCTCGGTGCGCGATCTCTTGCCATGGTATCCTGCACCACCAAACTCTCGGTCTGGATATCGTGCCGAAGTCCGCCGCGTCGTGGACGACTGCGGGCGCGTCGAGAACCTTCTCAATCTTGCGCATGTCGGCCCGGTTCTGCGGTATAACGTTTTCCACCATGATGATCGAGCGAGGTCGATGCCACTTCTTCTCGAGGTCCACGATGAGCTGTGCGAAGCGGATGAACTTGGATCCTTCTGGTCCCTGGTGTCCCGGAGCATCGGCGCGAATGCGGGAAAAATCGTGACATGGGGGGCCTCCTGCTATGATCACGGTCGCCTGGCCTCCGGGGTCAAGCTCCTGGATGAGGTCGTGCAGGGACTCGGGCGTCTCTTGCTCGAAGTCGCCGCGGTGGATGACGTCGGGAAAGTGATCCTGCAGCAACTTCTTAAGGTTGGGGTCAATCTCCCAAGATGCTCCTTTCCATTCGAGGCCGTTGCTGGTGCAATGCTCGTCGCAGATCAGGCAGGCTGTGCCGAGGCCGTCGAAAAAGCTGAGCATGATGATGTCTGGATTGCGGTCGCCGTTCTTGACGCGGATGGTCTCGGCCTTGCTGCGGAGCGTCACCTGTTGGGGCCGTACCGTGTCGTTGTTGTCGGAAGATCTCCTGGAGCGGGGCAAGGGTGACCGCGAGCGAGCGAAAACCTGGTTGTCTCCGCTTTGCATTGGGTCGGGTCCACCCCTGGGGGATGGCCCGTGCTGTCCCTATTCCTGCTGCTGCCATTGCTTGCGGCCCTCCTGCTGGTGGCGCCAATCGTGCGTGCGCCACTGCTGTCGATCGTCATCATGCTGGCGTCCTCGGCCGTATCCCTGCCAATGTTGCCGGTCGTCATCCTGTTGTCGACCGCGACCTTGGTATTGCTGCCACTGGCGGTCGAAGAAGGCGTGGTAGCGTTGTTTCCCGCCACCTTTGCCGTTGCCCTTGTGCTCCGTGCGCTCCCACCAGCGTTGTTGGCCTTTGCCTTGACGACCCTTGCCGCATCCTCTGCCTCCGCGAGGGGTGTCTTGCCAAGGCGTGTCGGTCTGTCGCGGGGCGCGAGCGGGGCGATCGGGCTGGACCTCTGTGCTCATGGCTTCCTGTAGGAGCTGACTGTCGGCCATGATTTCGTGAGAGATGTCCTTGAAGGGCTGCTTCTTGCGTAGCGCGAGCGCGATGCGCCACGAAGTATTCTCCCAATGCATCTTGAGCTGGTCGATCTTGTTGGGACGACTGCGAACCAGGCGCTGCCACCATGAAAAGTATTCGTCGATGTCGCTCTCCGGGGCGTACTCGATGAAGATGAGGGCGACGCGAACGGCCTCCAGGCAGTCCAGGATGGCGACCTGGCTCTTGGGCTTCCAGGGCGTCTCGGGTTCGGTCTCGAGCTGTAAGTCGGCGTTCACGACCTGGGTCGTCACCTGTTCCTGTGACCGTGCTCGCTTCCTGGCGGAGGTGAGGGTGTTGGGAAGGAGTGCCGCGGTGAAGTGGCGGTGCTGAACGATCTCCTCGAGGGGAATGGCGTTGTGAGCGAGGTTCTTGGCGTCGTTCAGGAGCTTTGCGACCGCGCCCAAGAGGGTCATCTCGGGAAACTTGCGAGGGACTCCATGTATGAGGACCGCCTCATATTTGTGGATCTGTTGTTGCCAGTATCCGGGGGGTAGCTCCTTGGTCTTGGAGGATGCCGTAGCTGTGGTCGTTGTCGCGCTCGGAGCGCTGCTCGCAGTTGCCGATGTCGTTTTCTCACGGGCTTTTCGCCATGCGTGGCGTAGCCGAGCGCGGGCGACGGGCATGTCGGCGTCGGCGACCTCGAACATCCTCCCATCCTGGAGCTTGAAGGGCGATGCTAGGGGCTGTACCATCGCCTGGTCGAACTCCTTGACGTCCTCGCCCAGTTCGGCAAAGATCTCGGTCGTGAGGACGCCCTTCGTCGCCACGTAGGCGATGAGGTCCTCCGACGCGCCGGCGTCCGAAAGAATCGCTCGAAGGCCGGTATCCATGGTAACCTGGGCACAGTGTACAGGCTAGGCTAAAAGGCTGCGGCGGAGCGTAAACCACATAACTCGGAGCGGTTGCAGACTCGGCCATAAAGCTCATTGTGTTCTTTCGCCCGGGCGTGTCGCAGCGAGGCTGCGGGTACAATCTCAGCTAGAAGAGGAATCGTAGCTATCGGTCGACTCCGTGTCGGATGGCGGCTGCCCTGCCGCTTTCTTGCGACCCTCTGTGAGCCATCGTCGTGTGCCCTGGTGAAGTTTGAGTAGCCGTACGGCCAGCCGCAGCGAGCGCGCCATTTCGCTGGCGGTCGCGAGGACTCCTCGGGGTGTGGGCTTTGCGCTTGCACACCAGGTCCGGTCGCTTTTGGATGGACTGGAGGCGTGCGGCGATGCTGTCCAGAGCCGATCATCGCTGCTACGGCCTCCTTGTCCTCTTTGTCTGCCTGGGCTGCGCGTGCCTTCTTGGTCGGGCGACTCGTTGGAGCGGTCTCGGGTTCCTCCAGGTTCTGAACCAGGGTCCAAGGAGGTGAGTCCTGGTCCTTGTCCTTGAGGGCGGCTGGAGCGTGCGAGGGCACTGGCAAACCAAGTGTGTTGATGCCGTAGAAGGCGTCCTCCAGTTCGGTGTCCTGAACGTAGCGCTCGATCGCGCGACTCCCCCACCGTCCAAAGCAGCATGATCGTGCTCACCGGGATCCTCATGCGACACAAATGTTGAGCGCCTGAAACTCGAAGGCAGTGGCCCCCGAAGCGATTCACCTCGGGCTCGAGGGGAGCTCCTGCTCTCGTGAGCGGCACGTCGGCCGCGGTGAGGACCGAATGGATGGCCTCGATCGACTGTGCCTTCGTCATCGGCTCTCCCGTGTCGGCTGCGAAGATGAAGGCCTCGGGGTCGGAGGGACACGAGTCGGCGATGCGGAGCGCTGCGTGGTAGGGGCAGATCGTCTCCGGAATGGTGCCGCAGTAGCAAGAGTGTCTCCGTTGCACCATGGACCCGATAGTGTCGTTCTTGCTGGCGGAGAGGGTGAGGCACACCTGCTTTGGCTCGGAATCGAGCGTCATATGTTTGACGCGAAGTGCGGAGAGCTCGATCTCGCGGCAGAGGAACCAAGAGCCCAAAACCACCATGGCGTGATGGAAGCGTAGCCCCTCCTCGAGCAGGTCGATGCAGATGTCGAGGGCGTCAAGTCGGAAAGCGTCCTTCGGGGCGGCGGTGCCCATGCCACGCTCGATGGATCTGATGGCGTCTCGAATCGCCAACTCCACAGGTGTCGGCACCGCCTGGCCCGTGACCTGGATGTGTTCTTTGCGAGCCCGGGAGAAGTACTGGGCCGAGCTGCGATAGCCTCCGCTGCGAAAGCTCGTGCCGACTTTCTCAATGGTGTCGGTCGTCAGCGGCACCGGGCTGATTTTCCACGCCGCGCAGATCTTGCACCAAGTGACCCAGCGAGCATCGTTGGGGGCCCGCGCGGAGCGGGCGTAGACATTGTCCCGGAAGTCTCGAAGGGCCTCCTCTGCGTAGAGCGGGTCAGCGGCGGCCAGGGCCTTGCTCAACAGTCCACCGGCCGACGTCCGCGGTGTGGGTTGGTCGAAGCGCGGGGCGGGTCCGCGAGGCGGGGCACTCACTTGGCTGGCTTCCATGTGGTCCTTGTACCCTGACATGACCAGCATGACCTCGATCTCGCCGGCAAGTCGGTGGTCGACGGTGCTCGCGCGGAGCGCTGCGTCGTGTATGCTCTCAAACCCCAGTTCACTCATCTTGTCGATGGTCTGCGGTGCCAGTCCGGCCGAGACCGCGGCTTGCATGAAGTCGACAAAGGAATGATAATCGAAAGCCGACATGGCGTGGCGCATGCGTGCGTGCTAAAACTGTGACAAAAGGCAACCTGAGCCTGGAAGAGAACGGCTGCGTGCCGCGGGCGTCCTGCTTCCCGTACATGTAGTAGCGTGACCTGACAGGTTCAAGTTGCGGGGCGTCGGGCAGAGAACAAGGCAGGCACTCGAGACGACGAAGCCCGGCGAAGCGAGACGACCACGACGAGGGGACAGGTGGGCTCCCACGGGTGGGCGGGCGAAACGCGACCACCCACCAACCGGCGAACGAGCGACGAGACGAGCGGGACACGAAGTGTACATGTGAAAGTGCAGACATGCAACACATGACACCAACATGCACACAGCAGCACATGCCCTTGCAGTCACTCGAGGGAGAGAGTCAGAGCGAGCGGAGACCTAATGCGTCAGAAGAGGCACTCCTGGCAGAAAGCATCCTTGGGAAAGAGAGGCAGAGAAGAAAAGACCTAATGCGCGAGGCGAGCGGCAGCACTCACTCACTCCTGTGGTTGAGGCGGGGGGAGTGGGTTCGTCGCCAGCACTCGGACCCCTTCTTTTGGCGGCGCGAGCGGCGCAGAATGCGAGGCGAGGCGGTGATCGATACACGACCTCCGTCCGCCATGGAAAGTGGGCGGCCCACGCGTCAGCGTCTCCCAGCTGTGCGCGCGCGATCGCATGGGCCACAAAAGTGGTTGCCATGCGCCGTCCCCGATCGCGTGCGGATCACGGGTCGATAGCACCTGCCCTGGCATACTGGCGAGCGGTCAGCTTTGCGCGTCTCGCAAGCAGCTGCCTCGCAGCCGGTACCTACCTCAGATGTCGAGGACGCCACGCCCGCGGAAGGAGAGGATGAGAGCGACAATGGCGCCGAGGAGGACAGCGACGACTCGCCCGAGGACGACGATGACGGCCAGCCCCGGATCGTCGACCCGAACCTCTTGTGTGTGTCTCCCGCTGCGCCGGCAGCTCAGCCCGAGCAGAACACCACGAGCGCAGCAGCGGCGATGGGGGCCCGGCCACGGTCGACACGGGGGCAGGGACGAGCGTGCCGACTCCGGTCCCTGACCCACCAGTCGCCCCAAGTTCGTTCCCTTCGGCGGCCGAGGTGTCCCGCGACCAGCAGCGCATCGCTCGCCGCCAAGAACGCGAAGCACGCCTCCGGGCTTGGGATGCGTGGCCGGAGCCATGTGATCTTCTCGCCGGCGAAACAGCCGTCGTGTGGCAACTGCCGACGGGTGTGAATGCACAGCCCCCGCCGGGCAAGTACGCCGACCACCGAGTGGAAGGCTACTGCAACCTAGGCGAACTGGGCGGCGGCAAAGGCGGGGCGGGCGGCTCCTTCACTGGCGGCGTCTGTGCCACGAGCTCGAGGTCCTGTGGCACGGTGTCCTCGTAGGGCTGTGTGAAGACCGCGGCCAAGGTCGAGTCGTAGGTGCTCGGCACAACGGGCGGCCGCTTCTGTTTGGGAGCCGTTGTTGTGGTCAGCCCAGCTGAGGGAACACTCGAAACCGCGCTCTTCTCCTTCGCTTTGGCGGGCGAAGCGGGCTTGCTGGCTGCCACCGTGGGCCCTGTTGGCGGCTTCGCCCTTGGTTGCTCCACACTGGTCGAAGGCCAGGGAGAAGACTGCGAAGCGCTCGGCGGGGGTCCTGTCCTCGGCGGTGCGGGCGGGCTCGAAGGTGTAGTCGGCATAGACTTCACAGGAGGCGTACCAGCCTTACCTCCTGCTTTGCCTTGGCTCTTCAAGAGCGGCCCAGGCACCACCGGGACGGGCGAAGCGCCTTTTGCCAGCAGCGACTGCTGCGCCAGTTCCAGCGTCTGGTTCCGCGAAGCGATCCGTGCTGCATAGTGAGCATCAGTACCCATAAGTACCTCATGCCCTATCCCGAGCACTCTGCGGATCTGGACCGAGCCGAGCGAGCGAAGCAAGACCCGGATGTCGTCATCGCCCAGGGCTGGCAAAGCCTCGAACACCTCCATCGTGCGGCGAAAGGTCTCCAGCGTCATCGTCGCGCCGCTGCCACTGGCTCCAGTCGCTGCTGAACTGGTAGTAGGCGCCGTAGAAGACATGGCGGCGCGGGCGAGCGAGCGGCAGCTATCCTGAAAATCTTTGCAAGCCTCGAGCGGGCAACAGCTGCGGTGTCTTGCTGTTGCCGCTCGTACATGTCACTACGTGCACACGTGCACTACACGACAAGTGAAGACTTCATCACAACACGCCAGGTTAAGCGAGACTTTGCTCGGTAGAAGTGGCTCGTTGCAAGTAGCTGTAAGCTTGACTGACAGGAATGGTCCCTCCTGAGCTGAGTTCTGCACCGGCAAGACCTGATCCACAAGAGTGTGTTTGCCCACTTTGCGCTCTGGCAGACCTGAGCGCAGTGTTCTGAAGGAGGGGGGGTTTTGCAGGCGCAGCACAGCGGAGCACAGATCGTGGTCGAAGTCCTGAGAATGCCACCCGAAAGGCCGGCCCGAAGCTTGACTCTCACCAGGCAGAGATCGCATTAGCGACAAAAACACCTCGGCTACAAGTGATAATCATGCCCCGTGCGCCCTTTCAACAGTCTCGAGGTCATACGATTCGCCGGCTTGGGAAAGTCGAACATCTGAGAAGTCGAGGTGCATCCCTCTCGTCCATGCCGTCATGCCTCCGTCGCAAACCTGACTTCGACACTACTCCAAACTGCACAGAATGGCCAAGAGGTAGCTCCCAGATGTTTAGGTGTTGCACCATCCCCGAGGCCAACCTGCCAAGCTCACCGAGTGCAGACCACGACGGTGCCACTTTGGTCACCGGAAATCACGACAGCATCACAATGCCCTTCAAACTCAACTAGTCGCAATCCACAAGAGGCGTGGGAGACCCGAGTCTTTTTCGAGCACATCCTTCGAAAGATTTGCACGTTCCAAAGTCAGTTCGTTAATTACTTCGTTCATTCGGAATGAGCAAACACACCTGAAGGCGAATTGCATCCCTCAGCAAGCATCGGAAACAACGTAGACACATACCACAGACACTAGTAAAATCGAAAAGTTGCCAAAACAACATGACATGTGCATCTCATGATCAAAACCCATCCACTACATTGCATACATCCAGCATCATCCAATGCATCGTACGCGGACACTGAGGATTCGTGAAGATGCTTCCTGGCTTGCTTGCATGTCATCTGCCATGTCGTCCATGTTGATACCCAATCTGTGAATGAGTACGTAAGTGCGCACACCTTGATTCTGAGCCAAGGGTGTTTGGATGCAGGGGGTTAGGCCGCCAGTCAGTGCCTGTCCAAAGAGGTGGCCTTAGGTGCTAAGGGCAAGATTCAAAGCAAAGCAGAAAGTCGATCCGCGCGCTGGCTGAAGGATTCACACTCTGCGGCTTCACGGTACGCACGATTCGTGCAGTAGCACGCGCAACTGAAGGCACCGGATTCGAGCACCATAGCAACCGCTGGGATTCGAAAACGTAAAAACACTAAACTAGTATAGACCTGATCCGACACCCGAAAAATATCAATTCCTCTACCCTAACACTGAAGGCTCCAAAGACTCGGCTCTCCTCGGCTGCTCATACGGCCCCTCAAGCATCCTCAGACCCTACCCTCAACTCGAGTGCGCCCCGAACACCAAAACCCTGCAGCCTTAAACCTGACACCCTACCAATCGCATGTGCCAGAATCGCGGACCTTGCTCCAATATGAGGAATACAATCGTCCGCACGACAAGCCCGCACTTGGATCCAATGAAGCAAGAGGACCGAAAGGGGAGAGGCGGTTGAAGGCCCGTAAATCGGGGTGTTGACACCACAGATACGACCCGGGTTTATGATAGAACAGATCACATTATATTCATGAGCCGCCGAAAAGATGCTCAGCAATTTTTTCGAAGCAAAGCGTAGCCAAGAAATGCCCTCATCATGCTGCGCGTCACATATGCGACTGAACTGCCCAGGAGGACTGCTTCAACAAACACCCCTATTGAGAGTTGGCTTGCTGTTGCTGCGATCGAGTGCAGAAGGACGGCAGCTGTGAAGCTTCGAACAACGCAAATGCTGCACCTCTTCCGAGCCGACAAAGAGCTCACCGCAGCCACCTTTGGCAAGCATGGCCTCCAGCATGAGTTTCCCTATCTCGCAGCCACACTCTAGTGTTGGAGCACCTCTGCATGCTGCAAGGCTTCGGTGGCTCCTTGAAGAGCCTTCGAAGGCCCATGTTCCGATGAAGGCAGACAGAGTCTGACAAACTGTGAAACAATGCACCTCCTCAAGGTCATGAGGGTCGACCTCCACCTGGCATCTTCTGAGTTCCAACGATGCTTTGGAAACCTGACACGACCGGCGCTACCTCCGTTTCAGGACTGCCCATCCCATCCACTTGAACGAAGCGGTTGTGTCCTGGCACGATCTGACCGCTCTCTTCTGTCAATGGTAGACATCTTCCGTTTCTCTTCTTCGGGGATTTCCCAGCAAAGCGCTCGGAAGAATGTCACTCACAGGGAAAGGGTACCGGAACAAAGAACTTCGAAAAAACAAGTCGTAGACCCTGTTAGCTTGTGAGCAAAGCGCTCAAGATCCCTGTGTCCTTCCTTTAGAAGGGGCGAGGGCTGCCCCCGACTTTGGCGCTGGCGCACATAGCGCGCAGGTCCGACAAGTCGCTCTGTTTCTCTCATTCTGGAGACCCGCAAGCCAGTGGCCCGCTCATGTGCCGGGAAGAGACTTGAACACGTTACCACACGTTACAACAGACCTCATGCACATGACATATCTGGTCCCCCATTGGAAAACTCTCTCGGCTCCGACGAAGGTCGCTGTTGCTCGGGGCCACCTGCCCAGCTGTTGAACCAACTGAACAGCTGAGCCCCCAAGGCTTCCAGGTCAGGTGGTGTTTGGTGCCCCTCCTTTGGTGAGACTTAGCAGACTTCACCGTGGCCGTACTCGGCGGCCTTGACTGCACAGACGAAGCTGACAAGCCTGCCCTGCACTAGCTGCAGGCTGCAGGTAACAGGCACCCAGGCTTGCAGTCAAGGCCTTTTCGCCTTTTTTCCTTTTTTTGAGTGAAACGTCGCGGGTTTTACCCATGCGGGCCTTCATTGAACAACAAACGGGATTAACAAGGCTAGACTATATGTGAGTTGCGGTGGCCTCCAGGCTGCTTTGTTTTGGTCTGGGGATGTCTGGGGCAAGGACAAGGGACAGTCCCCGCCCCCGCTCACCCTCCAGGCTGCTCTCTATCTCTCTGCCTCTCGGGCATAGCGGACGGTCAGGGCGTGCAGGAGTAAAGAGGGCAGACAAATTAGCGTATTGATTAAAGAGCCAGTCAGCTTGGAGCCAACCTGAGGGGACGACCAGGAATTGTTTTGTGTGTTGGGTGTTCGTGTTGGGAGAGAGCGGAGTGATCACAACGCGAAGGAGATAAGCTGTGCATAAAACACAGTATAGTACGGAAAGCGCCCCCATTCGGTGAGCTTTGGCGAAGGTTGTGTGAATTCAGAGCGGCCGGCAACCCTGGGCCCTACGGGTCAGATTGAGTCTCGGATTTGCCTTCGAGTCGAAGGGTCGTGTAAAGTTGGGAGGAGGTTTGCATCATAACATTCACCACAACAGCTGCCTCTCTCTCCAGACTCCAGATTCTTTCACCTTTTCCCGAAAGATTCCTTCAACTTGCCCCACGGGATTCCTTAAACCCGAAACCCTAAAACCCAAGGAACCGGAGTTGATGTCATATTAGTTGAGAGAAACGCCAATGAATCGGGCTCAGACCGTATATTGGTGGGAAACCGCAGACTTTGTTGTAAAAGCATCTTTGCCGGGCTTCGGGCTGTGCAACAACAGCAACTATCCAATGCTGTACCCAAATAGTATGACCAGCCACTGCCCCGAACCCCTCTTCGCTCTTTCTCTCTTTCTGCCGGGCATAAGGGTCATCTTGCGACCCACAGGCTCTTGGCCCGCCCCTCCCCCCTCCCCCTGTTGTGTGAAGGATTGGACGGCTTTGTGGTTCTTCTTCGTTCTCTCTTCTTCCACACAGTTGAGAGAGTTTGTGTGCACAAGCCCCCTGCGCTCTCTCTCTCTCTCTCTCTCTCTCTCTCCCTGCCTCCCTCCCTGTCTTGCTTTTCATTCCACGGTCCTTGGAAACTTTTGGCCTTGTTTTGCAGACCAGTTGTACGAAAATGGCGTCGCAGCGTGTCCTTTCTGAGAAAACTTGCTTTAGCCAGTGCAGCACGGCAAGTTCTGCAGTGTATTCTTTTGCGTCCTCCATGCTGTTTTTCACACGGAAGAGCTCCTGGACCTTGACTGCTCACGACAGCTGAAACCCGACAAGCCGTTGAGAAATAGCGCAGGTGCTGGGCCTGCCGTGACATGGCTGGGATGAAGGAGGTGACATCTGCACCTGTGCACCATCCAAAAAAAAGATGTTCCAGTGCCGCAGCAACGGCCTTGTGGGCCGTGCTCGGAACATCGTGGACCGGCATCGCGAGACTGCGGCGCGGTGGAGCACACAGCCAGGGCTTTGCATGTCCGAACCTACCGAGCCTCGTGTCTCCTGGAATCATCCGAGTCCTCGCCAGAGTCAGAGCTGAGGTGCGTCACTTCCTGAAGGGCTCAGCATCGCGTCTGGGATTCGTCCTCAGAGATCAATGCACTAGCGCCTCAATGCCTGGAAATTGCTTCAAGGCCAAGCGCTGGCCTGGTACCAAAAGGGCATCCAAAAGGCTATAGCGGCTATAGCAGCCAGCAGCTGGCACCTGCCTTCTCCACCCTTGCGTGCAGTTTTCTCCGCTTCTCCGTCCTGATCGCAGAATGCAGAAGTCCTGATCTCACTCGCCTTTCCTCTGCGCTGGCGCCACCTCCCCTGTGCTGAGCAGTCGCGACGTCGTTCGGGCCAACGACGTATCCTTCGTCGCTGCATGGCTCGCGATATGACGGCCAGCTAGCACGAATCCCCTAAAGGCAACTGCCTAAAACCAGAGTCTGCAAAGCCCATCGACAAGAGAGCGCAGGAGGTGAGGAGCAAGCAAGTCTATCTGTCACACACCAGCCTTCTCGACGAGATCATCCTGTGTGCCATCCATGGCAAGTCGACCTTTCCTTGATGCGCAGTCTCTTCTGGAGACACCACGAGGCTTTGTGCATATGTCTTGGTGTTCCACGCACGCTCCTGGTAAAAGTCCACGTCCTGCATCTCCCCACACAAAGCAGCGTCCCTGGTTTCTTCGAGGAGACGGCCTGGTGGGACGATGCCTTGTGTTGGACGAGAGTCGCCTGCAAACTGAACTTGCTGACCGGGCTCACTGGATGACATCGCAAACATCTGAGCTGTCCCACAAGATGCTCCCGTAGAAGTCTGTTCTCTGAGCAAAGGCGGAAAAGATCTGGATGGTTTTCCAGTTGTCTCCTAAGCCATCGAAGCAATGTGTGCGCCAGTGGCCTACCAAAGTCCATGCTGGGTACCAGACCGCAAGAGCCTGAGAAGCGGCAGGTGTCTGAAAAACCAAGACAGATCTTCCGAGGCCAGGGCTTGTTTTCGGCCCGCAGTTCAGATAGCTCTTGTTCTGCAGGACCTGCAGGCAGGCCGAGTTTCCGGCTCCACCATACTCCGCCATCACGGGGCCTCCAAAGCCCGTCAGCCCGAAACCCACTTCGTTGGCAGCCTCGGGCCTTGCGTGCACTGTCCAGTAAAGGTTCCTATGTGACGTAGAGGCCAAGCCGGTTCTGTGCACTGAGGGCGCTACGGGCTTCCTTCAAAAGAACCTCGCACGCTTCCAGGTCGGTTTTCGAACGCCAGACTGGCTCGGCTGGCCTTGTGCCAGCTGTGTTGTTGAGCCCAGTCTAAGTACAGAGCCAGGGTCATGTTGCCAGTACATAACAGTGACGTGCAGACCAAGGCCGATGCTGTCTCATGCGGGCAGTGCTTCGTCGGCCATTACGGAGAGCCGCCTCCATCAAGCTGAGCAGAACATGTTCACTGCAACTTTAAGGTTGACGTTGCCAAAGCACCGGCACAGGAATCGGAATCGTTCCATCTAACATTCAATACTGCCCGAGCCCCGAATGCCCTCTTTGCAACAACGTGTGCAACAAAAGGCAAAGGACACATGCAAATCCCGCGGCTAACGCCAAGCTTTAAGCATTCGATGCTTGCCCTTCTGGCCTCTCCGATGAGTAAGCCGTAGCTGTAGCTGCGGCTGCGGTCTGGCACATCTGGCCCCAACCTGAAAAGCCAAGCATACGGTTTCCAGGCATTAGATCTCCTTTGAGGCCTACAGTATCCCCTCAAGAGGTCCGATCTGAGAGGTCAACCAGCGCTGGGACGAGTCACAGACCAGACCGCCGTCATAGCCTGCCATAACATTGCCGACATTGCATATGTGTGCTTGATGTGGGGATACTCTCCAAGTGCGATGAGCTGCTTTCGTCTTCCAGACGGCCATCTTCTGCTGCCAGGAAGGCCTCGTGCCAGGATTTGCAAGGTTATCGAAGGTGCTACTGCGGCGATTCCGTTCCATTCAGGCCTCGATCGTGCCATCCAGCATGTCGGCAGCTTGCTGATTGCTGTCTGTGGATGCACTGCAAAGCTGTTGCCGAAACCTACGGTACAGCTTTGTCTGATAGTCTCCGCAGCGCAACCCTGTTGCGGCACAGCAACGCTTCACGCGGCCGTAAGGCTGTGACACTACGAGCCGAGCAATCAACTCCGGCAGGTAGCAAGCCTTCTTGGCAAAACACTCGAAGTCAACGAAACGCGAGGCACTGGTTGGGCTGTGCGATCCTCTCCAGCCGCGTGGTCGACGAGGAAGCTGAAGTAATCGCGAAGTGCATCAAAGTAGTGCTCCTTCCGCTCCAGCACCATGTTCAAGTACCTGTGAATGCACATGTCCATGGAGCTCGTCCCACAAGGTTCCTAGGATTGACTGCTCTCTCGGCAATTTTCATCCAAATCTGGCGACTCACGCTGAAGGCTTTTTGCCCTACCGCGGAAAGCAACAGCCACCGAAACACTCAAAGCTTTGTACAAGTCGTGTAGCATGCTGCGTTCCAGTCGAATAATCCGGCCCAGAGTTCGGCCACAATGAAACCACAGTCCTACGCTGGAGAGCTGCCAACCTGGAGCATCAAGGCTGCACATAATCCTGCTCTAAGCCAAGAGTGGCAGCGTGCGCCTTGTTCCAATCAAACCTCAGATGCAGTCATTCGCAGCAAGCGCAGTCGACTTGTTCCAATCAAGATGCAGGCCTCGGGTGCGAGAAGGGATAAGTCATCTGGTCGCACTCATCTTCCACCTGCTGCCTCTCAACAAGAAGGAGGACGAGCTAAGCCGGAAACTCAAACTGCGAGACTCAGACGCTGGCACTGCTGCCCCAGCATGGGTCAGAGCTGCTCGAAGGAACTCATACTGATGAGGTCGGCACCGAATGCTTGTGACCTGGTAACGCGCGGAGCCAAAATGAAACCATTGGCTCGTCCGTTCGAGCCTCAACACGAACATCAGCTTGTATGAGAGCTCGTGCCAGGTCGATGAAGGGCACATCACTTGTAGCAGCTGAATGTCGAAGCCTGTGATGCTTAACCAGGCCTCTGTTGAACAGCTCTAAACTTGCGACTCCGAGGCTTGCACGAGAGTTCCAGCTGCAGCACCACGAGACCGGGAAATTTAGCTCGGAAGACGTCTGCGATTTCCTTCGCCGAAAATGCCCAGTGCCTGATGCACCCGCAAAATCAAAGGTGCCCGCACACTTCAAGAGCCACCAGCTAAGTCTCAGGCCCTTCAGTGCCAAGTGAGGCTCTGACGATTGAAACCTTGGAACATTGTCCTTCCGTCTCGTTCCAACAAAGTGGCCCAAATTTGAGCTCTCTGCATGATGAGGGAATCGTGGGAACGTGCTGATGAAGTCGCCGAAATCCATGCTTCCACGCCTGGGTTTAAAGATATTGGACTGCTACCGGCCCGCTACAAGGAAGTCCCGGCACTGCATAACTGCAGAGGCAGAAGCTTTCTTGAATTCGACAAGCCCTCCACATAAACTTGGACAGGACACGCACTGCAGCCCTTGACATCCTTCTGCAGCACTATTGTGCCGAAGGCGATGCAATCCTCAATGGCAAGTCGCTGGGGCAAGACCCGTTCGTTCTCAGGACTAGCCCTCCGCGAACGCTTACAGAAGCAACTCGGCTGCGTACCTTTGGCCAGCACGCCACCGGGAAGTCAAGAAAGGTGCAAGCGAGGTTTTGGAAGTCCAGTCCTGCAAAAGATGGAGAGAGAAAGAGAGAGAGAGAGAGAGATAGAGAGAGAGACAGGGGGAGCCAGGGAGGGAGGGAGAGAGAGAGAGAGAGAGACTTAGAGACAGAGAAAGAGAGAAAGGGATAGGGAGAGAGCAACGGAAGAGCAAAAACTGCACTCAAGCATCTTCCAAGCTTTGCTCTATGCGTCCTCTGACAAGCGGCGGTAAGGCTTGAAGAAGATTGCTGAAGCAGGATGCATTGTCCACCTGACAGATTAGCGGCGTGACTCTTCCAAAACGCCAGCGCAAGTCGTCCGCCCGTTCTGGGGAGCTAACATCACGATTCGTCCAAGCATGCACCAGCACTCGCCTGGGGGGGGCTCACATCGGATTTCGCGAAGGGAATGCTACGATCTGCAGCACATGCTGCATGACCCGAAGCAGGACGACACCGAGTGCAAGCACAGCATAAAAGCGGAGACGTCTTTTTTCCGACTCGGCGCATCAGAGTTTAGCCTGGCACATCGTGACAGAAAGTTTCTGAAGTGCAACACTGTGTAGAAACCTTCGTGCAGAAACCTTCTGCTTTCTCCCGGCTCCCCGGCCTGGGACAAACCGTCACTTTGCGCCCGAAGCTGCGAATAGCCCTCGAGAGATGCCTTCAGCTGCATATCCTGCCAGGCATGCGCTCAGGTGACGAGCTGAAGCCACACGTGCACCGACAGCCACAGCGATCGCTCCTGCAGGGTCATCTGCGCCACGAGCTTCTGCGAGCTCTTTTCCCGCAGGTACGTTGTCGTCCATCTGGAAAGCAGCCAAAGCAGTCAACTTAACTTGCTGAAAAACCTGCGGAGGAAAGGATATTTCTCCGAAGGCTTCGCGGCACGCAAAGGTTCTGCAACAATTCTTAGCCGATCCTTACATGAATGAGTACCCGCACCCCATGTGGCCTGAATTCTGCACGGGGCGTCTCACCACAGCCGACTATCTCTCGCGTGCACTCATAGTCCACACCGACGAAGATCGGTCCGTTGACCAATATAACCTGCACAGTTGCAGGCAAGACAGTGGCTCCAATATACGCAGGAAGAGCTTCAATAGAACTCAGTTGCACCTCGCAGCCACCGAAAAGGCCAACAGGCGTGCGGCCACCGAGTGCCTGCGAGCGTCAAAGCGCTTCGGGGTTGAAGCCTTCAAGTGCTTCGGCCTGGTGCAACCAGGAATCGCCCGAAAGCTGCGGAAACCTCAGGGCTAGTCAGAAGGTGTTGATTTCTTGGTACCAGACCGTGTCACAGTGTTCCCATCCAGGCCTTGCAGGCGGAGCTCCGCCTGAGGCAACAGCTCAAAGTCCATATCGGCTTCAGACTGCATCTGGAGCACGATGTCCAGGATCCAAACCAAATCCAAATTCCAAACCAACACCATAAAGCATGAAGAACACTGTGCTGGGTGCGACTTCCAGGATCCAGATGTTTCCTATGATTCCCTTGTCGACTTTTGGTCGACAAAACCAGGCAGCATGTCATAACACGTCTTTACTACCATGTCAAACGATGTCGTTGCACTACTCTTGCTATGGGAATGAGAGAGAGAGAGAGAGAGAGAGAGAGAGAGAGAGAGAGAGAGAGAGAGAGAGAAGGGGAGCCCGCATTGTCTCCGCCCCCAAAGGGGTCCACACAGGGCGGACAGTCTCGGCAGAAGTAGCGGCAGTGAGTTGATGTGGGCGGCAAGCATACAACCCAAACGCTAAATCACAAAGACACAACAAACGAGGATGCGAAGTCACAGGGCAGTGACTGCGCCCGTTCAACGTTGCACTGGACATGGAACTGGAAAAGCACAAGCACAACTGCAGTGAGGCTGAGGTGAACCAGACGGGGCGTAGCTTCGCACTTGAGCCTGTGAGTTCGACAGACTGGTCGATGGGATATCTGCTCAACGCGTCCGGACAAGTCGGGAGGTACGATGGAAGACTGCCCTCCATTCCGTAAGCATGCGGTTAGCTCCCCCCCATGCCCTGTCTGGGTGATGCGCACCGTCGTCCTTCTGCGGACTGCTCCAGCCTGAAATTCCTCGACCCCCTTTGCCCTCGGAACACCGGCCGTCAATGGGGTGCTGAAAAGTCTCCGCTGAAGGGCGTTTGTTAAGAGTTTGAGCTTTCGACTTCAAATCTAGTTTCCTGTGGCGTTAGTCCGAGTTGCATTCAATCAGTATACTGCTCTGTGAAAGCAGTCGAAAGTTGGCTATCATGGATGTCGCACTGAACCCCTCACCTACCGCGCCCAGCATGATCTGATTGAAACTCCTTGGCCGTCGGCGGGCGTCAATCAACAATTGGGCGCTGCACTCATTCACACTGCATGGTGGCGACATTTCAGCTTGAGACAAAGGCTCTCAGGGGGGAGGATCGGCTTGCCCCATGGAGATGTGTGCCCAGCTTCCTGAGCCGGGTAAAGAAGCTTCCCGTGCCTGAGGGTTATCGACACCAGCCGAAACCGAGACCTCGCTGAACCATGGATGAAACTCGGTGATGATCTCCAGCTTCCTGCAGTTAGTTTCGAAATTGCTCTTCCCAGGCACCCTTAAAAAAACACACGCAACTTGGCAAGAACAGCCTCCTGTGTGTGAAGGGAAACAAGGGACCAATGACCTTTGCCAGGAACATGCATGAGATGCACAAGGCTCAAGGCTCACACTGTGCGGTGCTAGGCCCCGTCGCCTTGTCAAACTCGATCCTTGCAGGTTCCGGCTCCAGGCTGCAAGTGCCCGGGTCATAGCGAGTAAAAAGCAGCCTGGAGACGCGGCCCCGCCCGGCGGGAATGCCCAGTGAAAAAACCGCGACAGACGCCACAGCCGAGAATGCCACTTCCCCGAGACCGGCTTCATGCGGGCCATTTTGGACTGTGCCTTCGATCTTGACTCGCGGCACATCGCGACATGCCCACATGCGGCAACACCATGTTCATGTGCTGGTGCAGGCAAAGTTCCATCGTCGTCATCTCACCCGGCCGCAGACCCACACTTGCCGTTCCTTCAAAGACAAGTCGTCCTTACAGTCTGGGGCAACAGAAAGTCGAACACACGAATGGTTGTAATGGCTGCTTTCTGCTGGTGCTCTCTTAGCTCTGGACCATCAAGGTGCTCCATCCAAATGTCAACTTGCTGTGCCGACTTCGACGGGTCGGGCTTCGCGATAAAGGCTCGAACGGGCTGACGATGGCCCACCTCAGCGTCAACTCGACGCAGGGCACAGTCGCGCCATGCCCACAATGCGTGAAGTCCACCATCCCCCTCTGCCCCTGCGCTGCCCTCCTCAAGCAAAAAATTAACACGAACGGTTGGCCTAACACGGGCGGGTCGCCATGTTCACGAAGTGCACGGACACCGATCCAGTCTCAAACCAGGTCGGTCCAAACGCCTGCCACTCGGCATCGTCTACAACGGAATTGAAACCCTGTGCAGTCCGGCAAGGCCTGCAGCAAGAGAGGCGTCAGCTGGGACCAGTGAACCTCACTTCACGACCACTCTGTAACCGACCTTGTGCAAAAACCCACGGCTTGCTTAGGGCGACCGCAGTTCCATGGATTGGGGCAAGCTTGAGACCGACCTGAACACACGGCCACCACCTCAACAACCAGCAGTCGTACAGAGTGCCAGCATCGCAAGCCCAAACCTGCTCAGCCGTACTGTCATCGTGGATGGAGTTGTGTCCGCCACCAACCTGCTGCTCCTCGCCCACAATTGCAAGAATCTGCATATGCGACAGCACGCAAGCCATCCTGCAGGTCGTTGGGAGGTCGGCGCCATTCACCGGCAAAGCAGGCCACACCAGGCCGAGACTTGCTCATTGTTGCAACAGTGTAGCTGTCCTCCGCCATCTGGGACTCTGGGCCCTATGCCGTCACGTGGAAACACAATGAAACACATCAAACAAGTGCAAAGACAAACATTGATGTCTTCAGTGCTTTGCGCAGCCGAAACCGAGCCACGGCAGACCATGACGTGCGCTTTCCATTCACAAGGCTTGGTTCCAAGTGCCCAACACTCGCGTGAGCTGCTGCACGCAGTGGGCCCATGAAGGTAAATCATGCACAGCGAGCCCCTGTGCAGAGCTATCGTCTTCCGAGCCCACAAGCGCGGCCACGGGCTGCCTCAATGCCAACGATCTCTGGTTGGGCTGCTCGAAGGGTGTCAAGGACGGTCTTCGTCGGTCTGCCTTGGACTTGCACTGACAGCACCGGAGAGAGCGAATGTCAGACCAGGGAACCAACTTATGTTACGCACGGCTTCAACCTCCATGTGCAGATCTCCGAAGGCAATAGGCAATGCCTGCACGAGACGCTGACACAGGCATGCTGCTGCTTTTGACTGCATCAACTTCAAACTACTGTAGCCGCTAGCCTCTCGTAATGCAGCGCGTAGGCCTCGCAGTTGCGCACAGCTCACATGCAACAGCTGCAGCAAAGAAAGCTTGTTACTGCGACCTTCCAAGCTTCTCCCGAAGATCAGCTGCTGAGAATCCTCTACCTGACATCCAGCCAATTCCGTCTGGCGTGACACAGAGAAGCGCGAAGTGCAGTAGTGCGGATGGGCAACAAAGCCAATGTCGGCATACAGCTGCTCCCCAGCCGGCTGAGACAAGAAGTCCTCAACTTGCACAGCCGCGAGGAATGTGCAAGTGTCCTTCTGGCTTGCCAACGCCTCCAGCCACCGGATTTGCAGCGACGGACACTCAGTTCCTTCCATGCGGTTCCTGTCCCAGTCCAGACCTCGGACCGCATTCGAGCTTGCAGAGCTTGCATATCCCCGATGCGACGTCACTGAGTTCACTGCAGCTGCCGTCCAAGCAAGAGGATGCATGCGCAGTCTCCGAGAAGAGCCTGAGTCTCCGTCGGCGAAGACAAAACTAGCACTCTAACAGCAGCAAGACAATCATACAGAACAAGCTCTGATAAATGTGCCGGAGTAGCATCACCTTTGCCTTGCAGACTATACCCTGGACAATGGTGAGGGTTTCTTGCGATACCTTATCTGACATCTGACCATGGCTACTCAGAGCTCGTGCCAGTCTGATGAGAAGCTTGGGTCTGCGCAGCTGCCAGGCAGAGCAAGTCATGGATGGTAAGAGTCTGCGCACAACATGCGGCGGCGAAAGTTAAGTATGGTGCCGGGACCCAACTACACTACCACATGTTCGACCCACATTTATGGCGAACTACTTGTACTACACAAACCCTGTGCCTGCGCCACAACCTTGGCATCATGGTGAATGATTTGCTTTCTTGGCACTGACCACGTTCTGCCAGCCGCTGCCCGTAACAGCTAAGCTAAGCGCTTGCCACACATCAGGGCCCAGACGACCCAACCTGTCTGAATCCATCTGCACCCACGGAGATTTTCCGATATGGTGGAGGGGGGGAAGTACGAGCTTGCCCTGACGCAGGGGCAGGCAAACAATGAATCCTGCAAGGCAAGTGAAAGTTCCAGGAGAAGGATAGAGAAGCGAAGCAACAGTCAAGCAAAAGATGGAACGAAATACTTGACACTCAGGCTGCAGTTGCGTAAACTTTCGCTGCACAGAGGAAGGTGCCAATCGAAGACTTGCTTCCAAATGGCGTGCCTCCTCTTCGAGTCTTGCGAGGATGATGCAGATGCCTCTGCTTTGTCCTCATGCTGATCTGTGGGTGCAGTTTTGACACTAGTTGCCACCAGTGGGTCATCCTCGAATTCTTTGGTGCGGAGCTTGTGATTCTGGGTGACCTGACTCTAACATGGACCGCACTTGTTTGCCACGCTCACAGCACGAAGCACAGTTCCAGGCAGGGCTGCCCGGTCGTTGCGCCGATGGTGCTCCGGTTCTCCAAGCCTTACTTTCGGACAGTGTGTACTGCGCGCTGAGTGGGGGACCGGGGCCGACCGGGCTCGCCTCCTCAACCGCATCTTGAGCTGTCTTTAACGATGGGTCACTGGCCTGCCATGGCTTGCTAAAGCAGGTCCCAAGTTACGTAAGCTCGCATGTGCCACAAGCCAACGTGCGATGCCTGGCACATGGAACTGGCAGACTGCATTGAACTTTCTGCCCCAGGCAATCTCTCCACTTTAATCCGCCTGATGCCCAACAAGAAGAAGCCTCTACCACTGCGTGTCTGCTCAGCACCATAGTGGAACATGGGTGCCCCCACGGGTAGTAACCGTCATGAGCAGTTCCCAGGATCGAGAGCAGTTCGAAGTCGCCACCTGGGGCGGCGTGTGAACAGAGAGCCTTTACCACGAACGCAAGACTTCACTGCAGAAGGCCCCGACACCACTGGGTGCCGAGAGAGGCACTGCTCCACTTGGCAATGTCCTTCCAGTGAGTCATATCAGAGACATGAGGCCTCAGCGTGTAGCCTCTGGCTTCTAGCCCCATGGCGTGAGCCAGCTTGGGCACTGTGATTCACGCGTCACGCCATGCTTTAGGCAAATGCTGTCTCGTTACCTATCTATTGGATTTCGTGGCCAGCGTTGGCAGACCAACGACACTACTTTCATGCTACCAAATCCTCAGATGCGAGTCCGATGCAGCTCGGCGCTCCATAGGACTTGCCCAAAAAACCTAAACATCAGTTGTCTCGGACGCGCCGCCTACGAGGCAGGATCGCCTATTAATACAGGCTAAACGGCTAAACGTCTCGAACGAAAAGAACACGATGACCGGATACCAGCTCCTCGTCAGACACGTGCAGCGCCCGGAAGTTGTTCCTCCTCACTTGGCTGCTGGATGCTCGCTCAAGGACCGGCTGTAGCACTTTGAGTTCCAGGCTCCGCTGTCGTCCGAGAGTGAGCCATTGCCTTTGTCACCTCAACCGGGATGCAACGGCAGCATGATCCAGTAATTTTTTGCTATGGCCTGGCCCCTGCCTTGAGAAAGCTTGCGTGTCCACTGAAGTGCCGCGGTTCCTGACATTTCGCTTACAACACTACATTGCAGTAGCTTGCTCAGGCATGTGCGCAGCTGAGCGCAGTCCTCCCCAGGCGCAAGCCACGCCTCGAACTCAGGATATGTTCTAGGCAATTCTTACACCAGCTCGAAACCATTGAGCTTCCGACCTGGCCAGTGTCGTCCAAGATCGGAAAGTTATGCTGCATGAAGATCCTGGACCAAGTCAAGCACTGGCAGCAGGCCCGGGTCGGTAGTCCAGTGAGTAGGGGAGTGGCAAGACTCAACACAAAGCAGAATCACATCAAAAAAGGACGAAACTGCTCTCCGCACATGAAACGGACTACAGGGTCAAGACAGCGACACGCTCGAACCCATAAGTTCCACAAAGCCCGCTTCGATGACTGTCGGTCAGTCAGCTTTGCGCCATGCGGCGAGTGAATACTTTCGCATGGTGAACTGTTTCACATCAAACTGCGGGGTATGTGTACAAGACTGGTGCTATCAGTCTTGACAGTCGAACCATTGAAAAGCCTGGTCGTAACTTCAATAACCCACTCTCGCCTTCGTCGCCCTACTCTTATCTGGTATCTGCCGGTAGCTGCGGAGTGAAAGATGCGCGAGGAATAAGATGTTCAGCAATATGGAGCCCTCGCCGTGCGAAGCCAACGATAATACCATGAACGCCAGCAACTAGATCAAAACGAAGTGGACTCGACAAGAGATCCGGTGCTTTCGAGCTCAATGCCGACAGGGATGCTCCCCAAGCCTTGGTGGCAGTAGAACGTCTGCTGCTGTTGCATTGTTCATGCCCACGCGGCAATCGATGACGATGACAAACTTTCAACAAACGCAACCCCCAAAAGCATCAGGAAAGGCAAGACAGAGTCCTGACTGGAATTTCGTATCGTTTAAGCTCAGGAAGATTGGGCGACAACAAAACCACCCAGTTCAAATTGTTGAGGTATCATCCCTATACGATTGTGTGGCTTCAATAGTTCTTATGGATGGTGTGGCAAACCATAGACGGGAAAAGGTGTGGTAGGTTCAGTGATGGACAGCACAAACCTTCACGAAAATATGCAAATCTTCCAAAGAATTGCCGTGGGAATTCCTGAGATTGGCGATGAAGAAGTGGCGAGCTTGAACTGTCAAGGCAACTTAGTGGCTTGAGTTCGGTTTGACTCACAGGGCCGCGAAGACGGCAGCAACCGATCAGCCACAAGATGGCTTGTGGAAAGCCTCAGAGTTGAACCGACTGAGACGTGCTCATCTGCACAAACGCAACTAGCACTGGCAGACTCTAAGCCGCCAGTATAGGCAGACCAGTACAAGGAGACAAGCCTGAAAACTCAAAACACGCAGACAAACAGCCCTCAAACATCCTCAAACCAGCACAACGGAAGAGTGGCAAATGGTCAGCAGCTCAACGGGGAGTGGAACCCGACATGCACAACATTTGACTAGAGAAAGCTCCGACCACATCTTCTCGAAATAATCAAGAGTTGACACTCATTAACGTGTCAGTTTCGCTGACAAGACCCGCCGTTCTGAGTGGAACAAGACATCAGGCGCTAACCTCGATGACAAGCGAACAGTGGCGAAACACTTGTTGCTGACAGGACACTGACCCTATCTGACCCATCTTATGCTGTAAGCCTTGACAAGCAAGCCCCAACCTCGAATCGGTCAAAACTAAACGAAGCCAAGAGCGTTAAAGGAGCAGAATCGGTAAAACTTGCGACGCCTGTGAAGGACACGCAGACACGGACCCCCAATCAATACGGGTACAAAACGAATCCAGCGGCTCCTGCAGAGCAGGTGACGCATTTCCTGACGAGACTCAGATTGGCCGTGGAATGTCGTGGATTACGTCACCGGTCGACACTGGCTTGTCTTCCCTGCCTGCAGGAGCTCGGGTGGCTCTGTTCGAACTCGAGCAAAGACCACGCGGCCACCAAAGGAACCTTCAAAACGGCTCCAAGAAGCCTCTCAGGATGGTAAAAGGCCCACAAAGGCTCGGAAGCAGGCCGATGCCCTCGGCTTTCAGCTGCACTGCTTCTCCGCCTCCCCGCGAAAGCCGAAAACATGAAGCGCTGAAGGTGAACATCAAGGCCTTGCCTAGGAACTCTCGGATGCTTCGGGCAGCCTGCACTGCCAACATGTATCGACGTCTAGAAATCGAAGCATGCTCTCTCACGGCTTCGTGCTGTGGGCCGTGGCTGCACCCTCTGCCTAAGTATGTACATGTCCCGGATGGTAACAACGATTGATTGCTGTCGACGGGCCATAGGCCTAGCGGAAACCACAGGACGGTTCTGTTTATCTTTTTGGAATTGCCGTGGGCACAACTGACCACATTCCTATCGACACATGCAAGAGAACCCATGTCCCTAACACCGCTATTTGACCCCACGTGTGGAGAGGCTCGCTGGCTCACTTGCGAGCTGCGGCACTCCTCGCACACACAGTCGGATGATGTTGGACCCTGGGAACACAGGTGCCTCGGCACAAACTTGCCTTGCTTCGCTGATGCGAGGCTCCTGCAAAGAAAAGCGGAAAAAGAATAGCATATAGCATATGTTCTGAAAAAGTCTCGATCCGGGCAACAAGCTGGCGTTCCTCGAAGGAAGTAAGCAAGAGCGCAGTGTGCAGGCGTCTGATCGGAACCTGAGAAAAGCCAGGACCAAGGATGCACGGCGAAAGAGCGATCAAGAAGTCTCCGTCTGGAATTTTGGGGAGCACACCAGGCAGCGCTCGAAGAGCTTATCTTGGGCAACGAACCACTGCTGCAGCTGCTCCCTGTCACTCAGACTCAGACAATCTCTTTTCGCAAGTCTGTGTTGCTGAGATGAGGCCCGGACACACATCGCTGGATCTCACGTGACTTTAGATGTATTGCCACGAAGTGAGTGGGTCGAGCCCTCCTGACATAGACCAGGATTAACAGCCCATCATCAATTCTGCAGGCTACAGCTGAAGAAGCAGAAGCTCATGGCTAACTGCTGGAGCTGCTGGGTCAGGTGCTGGGACGGCGGCAGCAAATTCCGTGGTCTTGGACAGTTACTTCGATAACCTCCACGCAAACTGTCTCAGAAGCCTCTCAGTGAAGTAAGTGTCGCCATCCAACGCCTGCTTTCCATGTTTGCCGAGGCCTGCGCATACCAAACCATGCACTTCCGCGCCCGGCTTAATGCGCACCTGCCTAGACCGCGATGTGCTCGACTGGCCACATGCAATCTCTGCCGCTTCCTTCACCAAATCTTTCTGAAGCATGAAGACAACTACTGCTGCTGCAGCTGTCAGTCACCCCATCCTCTTGGTCGGGCTCGGGGTCATGAGCCACAGAAGACATTAAGTCAGCATGCTGCTTCTGAGAACTCTCCGAGCATTCGGACGTTGAGCTACCTTCTAAAGTGAGCACAGGTGGCTATCTGCAGCTATGGTGGTTCGCACATGCTTGCACTTTACATCTCGACGTGTCCGCATTTATACTTGGAAACTATCCAGCAAGAACTTGAAGGCACGGCGAAGAGTAATAGCGACAAGGCAGGAATGATACAGGCAGTGCTCTGAGGCTCACTGTGAGACCTTGTCCACCTTGTGTCGTCGCAGCTCACAGCGGCGCTCCCGATCCAAGGCCTCTGAATTGTATCTAGGCCCACATGCGACACAGTCTTGGATCCGAGGCAGCCGCTGCAGCCAGCAGAATTTCCAGCCTACAAATGCTCGGAGCTGTCTGAAGCACAATCAAGGGCTCGATCGGTACGTCTCACGAAGTGACAGCACACAGGTGGCCTTCTAATGCGTCTCGGACCGTACAAGCATCGCCTTTCACTGAAGCGTGTTTGCATCATGCATCATCAGAAGCATGCAGAGGTGCTTCAAAAATCCACAGGAGCGATCCAAGAGAAGCTTAGCTGAGCACAGATCTTCCGAACCACCTGCCTGCAGAGCTTCCTCCAAGGCAGCCTGCAACAGATCCCTGCGGCCTCACGGCCTCACAGCCCTCTGCAGCTGCGGCGCATGCCTCGACCGAGGTCTCCTCCCTGCCTGGAGAATCCAGGGATTCGAGCCCGGAAGTTGCTCCCACCCTGGCCATCCCTGGCCTAGCTTCTGAGCGTCCAAGCGAGGCCTTGGGCGAATTTTCGGAGTTTTCTGACGAGAGTTTCTGCACGTGGCATCTCTGGTGCTGGAACACTTTCGGTCGCTCGGAGACAATATGCCCCGTGTTGGACATGGGTGCTTTGGGCGGAGGTGCAGACGCAGAGCCGCACACCTTTGGAAGGTAGTTTTGCTCGCTTCCTTGTTGTGCCGAGGAATTTGGCCACGAACGTATTGACACAAGAAAATCAACTGGACGCAACTGCCAATGTGCACAAGGACACTTACACAGACATTGAGAATCCTGAACACTTCCGACCACAGAACGAGGAAAAGCAAAGGGATGCCACTAGGAAGAGACTGCAGTGACGAAACTTAGAACAGCCCCAGAAGAACAAAGGAAAACCACGCCTGCCTTCGTTCTATTCGACCGTCACCAGCTTACACTTGGACGAGATACACAAGATGTCCTCACATGTATGATTTCGCTATGCTGGCGAGATCCTATGACCTCGCTCTGTTGGCCTGGGGCGGATGCCTTGAGGGAGACGATCTTGTCTTAAGGTCGCTGACCTGAGGATTGTGGCTTGACAGGCTGGAGTGACCAACTCTCCCGAGCCTCCATCGCCAGCCCACGGCCTGGTACCCAGCAGAAACTGCATGGTGTGGTGCATGGAACCCCCCCCTCTGACGGCTCGGCTGGAAAGTAGGTCAAGCTGCTGGCGAAGGCTCTTCACCTGGACAAACAACCCGCGTCCTCTTGTCCCACCGAAGCTTTCGGAGCCACCCCGGACCGATTCCTGTGAGCGCGTGTGTTTAATATGCATGCCTGAAACGTCGCTTTAGCCTCCCCTCGCGGCCTCAAGAACCAAAGACCCCACAGTGCCAGAGTACTCCTCGTTCATTACGGCCTGGAGACCCGGCAGAAAGCACTGCAGGCGATTGGAGTCAAAACATTTAGGACTCCGACCGCACAGCGAATGTGCTTCGCTCTGGAAGCAAACTTGAGGGTCGACAAAGTCTCCCCAAAGCACATGGCCTTACAAACACAACGCTGGCAAGACGTCGAAGCATCGCGATAAGTCCCAGGCCGCAGGAGAGATGCAAGCAACAATAACCGTCTTCGAGTTACCACCCAAGGAATCTCGTAGAAGGAAGGTGAGCTTGCCTGGCATTCACACGTCTTCGGACTGGGACAGGCTCGCATTCGGCATGCTGCTTCTCAGGTTTCTTTTGATGTCACAAGAAAAAGGTGACGGCGTGACTGTCACGGTACCGGACGAATGGTTGCCGTTGCCTCATGGCTCTGTCAATGCTTTCTTCGAGGCTGTGTTTGAGTAGATTTGGGGTTCGTACCCTGCAACGGAAACTTTCCGCCGACCGTGCGAAAGAGACCTGAAGCTTCTGCTCCGTCCGAGAGGCTCACTTAGCTCACCCGAGCGCCGGGCATGATGACGTTCGTGAGAGCACTCAGGCTCCTGTTGATTGCACCGGCCTCCTTCACCCGGATGCTCTCGTGCTGCGCAAGGGGAGCTGTGTGAAAAGTCCGCACTGTGCACACATGCCGCATGCCATTGCATAGGGGGAGAGCACCGCTGAAGGATTGTGCGGATCAAACGTCTGACGTTCAGATCCCGCCAGATCGATGAGGTTTAGCCTCCGCTGCAAGGCAGAGGAGCAGAGCAAAAGAGCATCCGGGTGACCACTGGCCCCTTGCCTGGCAATCTTTGTGGAAGTGACACCACCAGCTGTGGTACTGGAAGCTTCCACTTTCAGGGTAAATACCGAATGTGACCTCCGGCAAAAACGAAAGTGCACTAGTCTACAAGACTTAGCTCACGCTCTTGCCTGGAACTGAGTTCGTTCATCTGCGTGGAAGCCACATGTCGCTGATGAAGTCCCTGGCATGCTTTGTGCAAGGATGCATACCAGTTAGCTGACAAATGCTGGCGGTCTTCGCTCATACGAACCTTGCATTGCAATGCAGACAGCCGACACTGATGTGCGACGTTCGCATATCTGCAATCCCTGCGGTTGGCAGATAGTAATTCGTCATCCTAATCGACCGGCAAGAGACAGAAAGAAGAACAACAAGGAATATGATGAAGACTAAAATCATAGCCAACGTCCGCGAGAACATGAATATGCGTGCGAAAAATTGCAAGAACAAGCAACAGAGCAAGACTAACAACACAGACAACAACCAGCTGCGCAAGCAGCAAGCAAGACATCTAAACTAACACCAGCAGCGCATTACGAGGCGGTGCAGCGGCAGCAGCAGCAGCAGCAGCAGCAGCGGCAGCGGCAACGGCAGCAGCTGCAGCAGCGGCGGCGGCAACAGCCATCGCCGCAACCGCATCGGAGACGACGATGCTGGTGACGACGACGACGATACTAATATAATATGCTGATAGTGATTATAATGACAGGCTGTCATTAACAATACTAGCAAATAGTAACAAACAAGACGAACGGTTGCAACTATGGTAGGGTTTCGTCTGATAAGCAACAAGTAGATGAGCATCTTCAACAAAAGCATCAACATCTCCTTGAGCATGATCCTCACTCTCAACATCATCGTCACCATCATCAGCAGCAGCACTAGCAGCGGCAGCAGCAGCGGCAGCGGCAGCATCATCGTGATAACAGCGAGTCATTAGTGCCACGGTCAAACCGTGGCCAAGGCAGAATGTCAGCTCAGAAATCTGTTTCGTGAGTGACAGATCCGCACATATTCTCCACATCACCAATCATGTCACTGCACGGCTGAGTACATTGAAGCGCCGGAGTCTATTAAACTTGATGAGGGGTCAAGACCTTACTAGCACATCGTGTTGACACAGAGCGATGATAAGACACGAGCTGCCTTCCAGACCACGTGGAAGGCATCCGAAGCAGACCACACCGAGTGTTCACTCAGCCTCTCCACGTACACGCCGTGGTTGATGTCCTCACGGCCAGGGTTTGCAAGCAAGATTTGCTTGCCGTATATGAACCCATCACAGGACCTCTCTGATCTGCAGGTTGGTGGAGCTTGGCTCCAACAGGTCAGTGATCTGCTCCTGCATCAAGCTGCTTCACTGAGTGAGCCACGATGGCATCTTCCCAGCGTCAGAGCCTTGTAGATCTCGAGGTACCTGGTCCCAAACGCTTTGGAGTCTTGCTGTGACATTTGCCAATCTCGCACGAAGGGCACGAGCATTTGCAACTATGTTGAATCGTCCCTCCTGTCTGATTGCGACGACCTGCTACAAGAAGGTAGCATTACATGCCAGAACTGGACCGTGTACAAATCATGTGCCTATCTCTGAGAAGATGTAGTCCAAGATGCGACACATCAAGCCCCTCGAGACACATGCGATTAAGAAGATGCAATGGCAGCTCTCTGCCAGTGGCTGGCAGCACTCCCTGGCCTTTGTTCACCATTGTGCATAGATTGCACGGACTCCTGGGCTGTGTGCAAACAAACCAACGTGAGATAGCTGCAGACCTCTTCCTTGCAACTCACGACTGCACAGAGAAGAGTGTCCCGAGGCCGCCACGACTTCTCCCTGCATTGTGTGGGTCTTGCCACTTCCCGTTTGGCCGTACACATAGATGCTGCCGTTGTACCTAGGCTGCAGAATGACTCGCGAAGGGCTTTTCCCTTGTTCGGGTTCAGGCTTGGACCCACTGAGACAAAATTCCGCCACACCAGTGCCAAACAGTTGAAAAACCTCCGTCTGTGTCGCAGACCTCACACTGCAATTCTTCTGACTTCGCAACAGGCCGCACAGCGGAAGGCGAGGGCCCCACTCTCGCAAAACACCGTCGAATGCAAAGCTGCGAGGTGGCTCAGCGAACAACTGCACCTGAGCAGCGGACCAGTCCGCAAGCTTGCTTTCGCACTCACGCGACCAGCAACTTTCAAAGTGTCGACTCTTTTCTGCCCGAGCTAGTCAGAGTCACATAGCCTCTTTAACATCTGAAAGCAGCTCGCTGGCTTCCTCACTCTCTGATTCGGCCTGGGCCTGGGCTTTCGCTTTCAGGGCTCCAAGGCACTTGACACCTGCAGCTGCCGGCTGCAGCCTGCCGGCCTGGTCCAAGAGATCCTCACAAGAAAACAGCACCATCTTCGGGACGGCATAGGACCCAATACCTCAAAAGCTCGCAGTCGAAGCAGCGACACGCTTGCTCAGGCCGCATGATCTGGCCCCGGCCTGCTGCAGCCAGGACTGCAAACCCCGGAAGCACGTGACCTTATGCTTCGTGACATCTCGCATGGTACGAAGCTTCACTCAGAAAGCAGCTGTCGAAGGGAAGAGACATTCCATTGCCAAGCATTCCAGCTCCAGGTTGTCGTGTACCTTCACGCAAGCTCTCGGCACGCCCTTTCACACACGGCAAGAATAATTTGCCATCGGGTGACCCAACCGCATGCAGCAGCAATGTTGTCGTGATAGATCAGGAAATTAGAGAAGATCCAGAACTCGAAGTTCGCCACCGTAACAGCCAGGACGAAGACGTCAAAAGCTGCCCAAGCCTTGGGCAGGAACTCTCCCTAGTCTATCACGTGTGACATATCTTCAGCATCTACCTCGCGTCGACAACACGGTACATACAGCCCTTTACCCTCCAATCTGCTTCGGAGGAGCATCCAGGACATGGCAGACTTTCCAGAGCAGGCCATGCTGGGCTTTCGTCATGGGCACGAGCAGAAGTGCCAGAACAGCGCAAACCAGCAGCAATGGAATGACCTCAGAGTGGCAACGACCGGACCGGAGACTTACCTGTACGGAGATCTTTGGAACCAAGAGCCGGTCCAGCGTGAAGCTGAAGAAAATGGCTTGAACTGCATGCAAACCACCCTCAGAGTCAGAGTCTCAGAGGCCGTCGCTCATCACTACTGTGTCTACCGGGTCCTGCGCTCTCAATGCGATCCGGCTGCAGATTCTTGGAAGCCCGTTGTTAAGAACATGCCCAAGCCGACGAGACTGTACTTCAGATCTCTCTCCTGGTCACCACATGCAGCGCTCGCATCTCAGAGGCATGCTGGCCAGTCAAGTACGTTCAAACTTCAAGCAACTTCATAAAGCACAGAGCTGGTATACGTGCAGCTCACCTCACCCTTCAGGAGCAAGTCGGAAATCGCACCAGAGACCTGCAAGTCTCAGCGTAACACTATGTCGATCTGAGGAAGTGTACCAAGGTCATGCAGAAAGGGATTGTCGATATGAAAGCATGACACTCGAGTTGCATGCACAGGCATGAGCGACAGCAGCACGGCCTTGTACTCCAAGGATTGCAGAGAAGCTGAACAAACAATTGAAATGCCAGTAAGAAAGGTCAGCCCCAGCAAGAGGACTGCGCGGCCTGCATGCCAAAACTTGAGAGACAGAGAGCTATCTGCGATGACTTCTTTACAGTTCATGTGCCTCGAGGGAGCTCACGGCAAAGGTCGTAGCTTTTATGGACCGGCTCCGACTCGCTGATATTTCCACTTATAGTTCGTGAACTACTCCGCAACGGCGGAGCTGTTTCCTGCAGGCTTCTCCTTCGGCAGGCTCTTTGCAATTCAACTCCGACATGGCATCGAGGCAGATGGATTGCCTGTTCGACTCTGTCGCGATGTGGCCGAGCACCAGCGACAACACCGTTGCTATGACGAAGGTGAAGAAAGGAAGCATCGGCACCGGGGTTACTTGCACAGAAACTTCCTGCCACAGCACGAACCGACAGGAAGGTGACATGTTGCAAGACGACGCTTCCCTTCTCCTCTCCGAACCATTTGATGTCAAACGCACACAACGCAAGGATGGCGAGCCATGAGTCGACGAGGCTGTACCTAGGAAGGCTGTTGTGCATGCTGGTGCTGTTAGCGAAGTGAAAACGCGGCGACGAGGGGCTTCCCGTACTCATCCAAGAACAACAGCACTTTTGTGCGTCGTGGCCTCGTCTGGCGGACCCACACACCCTGTACTCGACTCAGGCCAGCAACCAGGCTTGATACCGATCGACAACAGGTCGACGGTTTTTGAGATTCCCCTCTTGGAAAGTGGAGGGAGGTGGAGGGAGGTAGTTGATAATACATGTCTTCGGAAAGGCTGGGTTTTTGTTTGCCGCACATTATGCTTGTAGTGGAAAGAATTAACCCGGATTCGGACATGGTCATGTATGTGTGAACGCCTGCATGTCACAAGAAACTGTACCACATTCAAATAATGTCGGTGTGATTATCCATGTATTTTAGATCTATATCTATATATCTCTATTTATATATATATATATATATATTAGTATGTATACGTATGCGAACGCCATCAAGAACTACCGCGAGGTGCCGCGATACAGCCACAAATCCTCCGATGTTGAAGCTGTTGGTGCATGGTCCAGGTTTAAAGTTAAGTTTTGAGGTTCCGAGAAGAAAACACGTGTATAGTGGCAGCTCCTCCATTTTCAATTCTTTGTGACACTCTGCTCAAATACTCCGAGAGATGCTTTCCTCAACGATGAGCGTCAGTTCTCTCTGAATACCCGAAGCTCAATATTGGCCCACGTAGTAACTTCCAAAAAACCTTCACAATACTCACATCAAAGCCGCTGCAATACGCATGAATGACCGTGAGCTCTGACTGACTCCTACTTCTAACAACAGCATCCCCAAGGCCCAAGACTAACCTTGCCACTAGCCCTTGCATTAGCCGCAATGGTGACGTTGACATTACCTGATAATGGCCTACGGAAACAAGCTAAGACTCAACGCCAAGAATAGCAATGATGCCGTTCACGACTTCATGATAGGGAATCGAATGCCGTTAAAATCGAATATGCGTATGGAACTGTGTTCATCTTTTTAGCAAGCCTCCCCAGCATCATATAGGTCTTGCATTAGCAGTTTTTGTTTCATGTTCACCCTAAAGAAACGTCGTACAGCTCAATGCCATAATTCGTATGGATAAAAATGCTATCCCGGCTAGTAGCCACAGTGTCCATATGAACTCCCATATCGACTTGAAAGGTAATACAAAAACATAAACTAACCTGTTTGGCACCCCGATAGGAAGGATTCTCGAGCCCCCCCGGCATTCTAGTATTGGAGTTGATTCCGGGATGAACCTCACCTGCGCTTCAAACATTGCCCATAAGCTATTTTCTGGGTTGACTTTCGTAATGCACCGAATGCTTCCATCAACAGCAACCCCTCTCGTGGCCTTAGCAGAAACTCTTGCCACTGGCCTCGCTAAAAGTTCAATTAACATTCAAAACCTCGAAGCTTAAAAGCCATCGCATCCGCAATACTAGCTACTGCAAGTACTAATGCAGCAAAGCTAAATACTGCCCAAATATTTACCTCAACGCTAGCCGTCATATTCATGCTAATGTCAAACTACACAACAGGATGTCCATTAATAACCATGGAGTTTAACTGTCTTCGCTCCGGCGTTGGCCAAATGATGGCCCTTCGATTTAGGGAACATAAAACCATTTGTTCGTTTACCCCAACAGATTGTATATGGCATCCCCTTTCTACTGAAGTGTATGCCCATGTCGGACTTGCTGTCGGACTTTCGTATATGCGTGTACGTAGACATATACACATACTGCTCGTAAAATTAAACCTGCAAAAGAAACCCGCATAATGACCATGATCGCTAACTGACTCCTGTTTCCAAACAACACCAACCCTAATCCTACAGTTCGCCCTTATGCCAATGGTGACCTTCATGTTCGCCCTGACAGCAGCCCTAAGACCATCCGAAATAGCCTTTGTAGTACCCATAATCTGACCCCAATGTTTCTCCCACTTACCCGACTAGCTCTCTATTGACCCCAGAACTGGTCCGGACAATTGAATTGCCTCGCTGGTCCTGAGTATATTGCATAATATCAATGCTAACCAGATTCGAATCCCAATAGTAATGATACTCGGATAAACTTGGTCTTGGAGTGAATTATCAACTTTCCTAGGAAAGGTTGGTTTGGTGCCGAAAACCCAATCTATTCCTAGAACAAGAATTGTTTGGGCTTGAACAAACAAAACAATCTTTTGGGAAACTATACGGCCAAAGTCCAACAAGACATGTTTGGGCTTTACTAAGAAAAAGTTAGCGTTTGGCCGAAAACTCACTATTTCTTGGTGAAAAATGGGTTTCCGGTGTAAAGCAAGCAACTTTTACCTAGGACAAAACTGATTTTGGTCGAAAAGCAAACTGTTGCATAGCAGAAAATCCAAAAAGATGGTTTTGACATGAAAACCAGCTCGCTCCGAAAAAAGATTGTTTAGTACGGAGAAACGAACTTTTCCCAGGAAACCCAAAAGCATCATCTTTTTGGAGTCGGGCCGCCACGTTCCCGTGTTTCAAGCCAAAACGATCTTCTTGGTAGGAAAGATTTGTCTTTCTGACCGAAACCATTTTTGAATAAACATGGCTTTGGGCTTTGGCCGTATAGCTTCCCACGAAATTATGTTTCTGTTTCCCTAGGGAAAACCAATAAAGGAGGACAGTGTTGCAGTTGAGTTGCGTGCTCACCTCGAACCTGAGCGAGTAGTCTGACGCGTTCTCTTGAAATGCGGGTTTGGTTTTGGCATTTTCGACGGACACAGAATCCCCAACTGCCGGAACAGCTGGTTTGACGCACCGGAACAGCTGGTTTGACGCAGTATTTACGACAGAAAACGAGGGTCGGTAGTTCATCGGGGGTTTACCATATCCATATATGGTCACGCGCTCCGCGGCCCCCCCCTCCCCCCCCAAAGGTCAATGGTCCGGATATAGGGTGGGACCCCCCCTCCCCTGTGGTGTGTTCCTCTTCCTCCTGTGGGGTGGTTGTGGGGTTTTGGGGTTTAGGGGTTAGCTTAAGCTTTTGAATGTTGGGTTTACGGTTACAAGGTATAACACTTCGAGTCGACAAGGGCTTAGGGAGGATTTGCGGTGTATGTTCTGCTTTAGGCTTAGAGCCTGCAGTTAGGTGGGGTTTAGGGTTGGGTGTAGGGTTTTAAGTACAAGTTAAGGTTACTCAAAACAGGGGCACGCGCGGCGTGATAGGGTTTACGGCTTACTTGCGAAGGGCTTGCGTATGAGCCCTGGCCACCAGCACCACCCCACCATATAGTGGCAGCTCCCACCGCCCCGACCCCTTTCCCCCTTTCCGCACACGCCAGCCCCCCCCCCCCCCCCCCTACCAGACCATACCATTGGGGGGGGGGGGGCTGGGAACGCCAGACGCCTGACCATATATACATATGTGATCATATGTGTATATTTATCAGCACCTTCGGAAAGTGGCGCAAGAGGCGCAAGACTGCAATCTCGGCCACCAACGAATCCAAAGCGGGTGCCTTCCTAAACTCGGATCACATCGTGGGCGATTGTGCCAATACGCCCGTTGAGATGCTTTCCGGATATCGGATATGATGTAGCCAGCCCAAGGAAAGAGCAGCAGCAGCAGCGCTAGCAGTAGCAGCTGTCTAAAGATCTTAAAATATCTCAAATCAAATCCGACCTTACAACTAGACCTGGATCCAAACCATGCCTGACCTTCAGGGGCTCCAGCTGCTGGATTTTCCAAACGATGAAATGAATATACACTCATATGGAACCCGAAGCAACAAGACAGCCCAAAGCCCCCAAGCTGTGGCACGCACAGATCACTCACCCACACTCCAATACGCCGAAAACACCGAACAAAAACAATGCCTGCAAAAAACAAAAAAGACATCAACACCGCCCCTGAGCCCTGAAACCTACCCGAAACAAACCCTCAGCCTGCAGCAGCACACTGTTCAATTAATTACATGCCCCTCAATCCTAAACCCTCACAAATCTTGACAAAAGATCCCTAAGACCCGACATGAAATGGGAGAACCCGAACGGGCAATGGTTATCTGCAGGCACAGTGCGTAGGGCAAAATGGCTATCGTTGATTCTAAGGGCTAAGCCGCACGGCGAGAAGTCAACTTCGAAATCTGGAGCACGCTTGAGAGCCCACATGTCATCATGGCCGCGAGGTGCTATGAGTTATGATATCAAGCCTTTCCTCGGGCAAAAAATGAGAAGTTGCAGCGACATTTCAAGGCTTCAAAAATTCAACATTCGAGCAGGTGCGAGAATCCATCGCGAATAGGTTCACTTCCTTTGAACAGGCTACTTTTGATGAGATTTGCGCTTGGAGGCTTTGGACTCGACGGACCAGGCAGGGCAACGCTGGATGAAAGGAAGCACTAAAATCCGTTTCAGGTCTGAGCCTCGTCGTTGGAGCCAGCCACACGTGCAACAGCAGCGCAAGCTTCACGAAAGGCCACACCTGCAGTGCGCAGCAGAGAGCTTCATACCCGAAAAACGGGAAGCAGGCAAAACCGAAGCTAAGGACCGAGCGCCGCTAAGTCCGACAATCAAGAGAGCCAGAAGCCAAGCGCCTGCCACGGAGATTCTTCTCCCTTTTGGGTTGTATTTGCAGATTCACCTGCGATAAGCAGGCAGCTGAATGAAGCGGCTCCTGCTCTTTGTGCAGACTTGACAAAGACATGACTAACGTTGAAGTTGCTGCAGTTCTGCCTGACTTCGGGAGGGCTCCACATGCTCCAAACACAAGTACTTCTGCTGGGTCGCAAGCGAGCCGGCTTCCGAAGGAGACGTTGAGCTGTGCATGAGTTTGATGCGATTCCAAACGTAACAGTAGTCATGGGCGAATGAGAGTAAGAACTCTTGGTAACCTGTCGTCGATTCGTTGTCTTTGCGACTCTTGCGACGCTTGTCCGTGCCACCCCTTCTTGGCCCGATCCCTCCTCTCGTCTCTCGTTTGATCTCGTTTGGATGCGCCGTGGCCGTGGGGGCTCCTTTTGTCTTGCCGATGCGTGTGATTCTGGTGTAGCAAGAGGCGCCTCCTCGCAGGCTGTCCCGCGAAAGTGTCAAGACCTGCATGATCATCCATCTGAGCTGAGTGGTAAATCGACGCGCAAACTTCGCCGAGCAGCTGAAAACGAAAATGCTGGGCCAATCTTCATGCGCTCCGACCCGGCTTGGAAGATCACGTTTATAACCTCATAAGAGCTAAGAGCTGCAAGCTCCTTCGTGCCACTCCATGAGGAAACTTGCAAGCCACGGAGCAGTTCCGAGTCCCAAATCCGAAAAAAGGAAAAGGAACATGGTGGCTACCTGCCCCGCCGCATTCTGGCGATCGACAGCTTCCAGCGGAAACGGTTGAGGCGAGGACCAGAAAAAACGGATATCCCAAGGAGAGACCGCGGGGGATGGCTTGGCAGGCTGCCAACGACGATTTGTTGAAGAACTGACCTGGCTCAAGTAATAAGTCCTGGCTCTGCACGCCCCACACCATTGCGTGCCTTGGTCGCTCCTTTCGGTATGTACCCAAGCCACCACACCAATCCTAAGTTTGCATGCTCACAACTCGTGCAAACCCTCCTTTTGTTGCAACTGCAAATGAGCGACACGGCCAATACCAAAGAAGTCAGCAACAGAGATATGTTGACCACGCCTTTCGGACATGCTCAATCAAGCCTACAAGGCATGCATGCATGCTATAGCAGCTGCTGCAAGCGTCCTTCGGGTCCGAAGTACACCTCCGTGTTCTGGCACGGCGGGACATTCTCCAGCGTTTGCTGCACCATGTCGTTCAAAGCGTCGTGCAGTATGATCGTCGAGGACTTGCAAGGAATTTTTCGGACCAAGAAAGGCGTGTCACGATTGCTTGGTGAACCTTCACGGTACATCATTGATGTTCATTGGCCTGGAGGATGTGCGGAATCGCCGCTGCATATCCATGGAGAGTTGCCCTTGCTCAGGACTGCGCACTTCATGCGAAACACAAACACGTCCCACCTTAGCATTTGAGTCATCGCCGCCGCGAGGTCATCTCCAATTGAATGAGAACCGACCATGCCTCGAGTTGAGGTTGCTTTCATCACAGCACGGCACTGGGACCTGTGGTAGGGAAGGGACGAGCCACTGGTATCATCATGTTGTCGATCCTCAGCCTGCCCAGTCTCAAGAACGGCAGCTTCAGAGAACAGAAGATCCTTGATGCAGTGTGGCACCTGCGCAGGGCCACAGGTGCCTCAGGCCCCACGGCTGCACCACGTGCACATGCCACCAGGCACTCCAACTTCTGGAATTGATCCACCTCCAAGGCTCCCAAGGCCTGCGTTCGACAAAACTCTTCTTCGACACATCAAGCAGCGGCAGCGCTGAAAGTTTGCGCCTCCTGCGAGACCATTGCGAGGATGTCCGACTCCGCGCTGACATTTCCCAAGCCAATTGAAATCTCGAAATGCTCCAGGAGGGGTTCGGCCTGAGCTATCCTAAACCTCGAAACACATCTGCAGGATGAGTATCCTTGCGCATAGCCTGTCTTGACTTCATACCGGTAAGGCAGTGCCGCACAGCTGCTTGTTTCAATGAGTCCCGAGATACCGATTCCAACTGGGCCTGCAAACTGAGCAACAAATTCGACAGACAAGGCATTAGCAATGACCCCAAGGGGTTGGAATTGCCTGGATTTTCGCACTGAACCGCAGGTTGCTGAATGCAGCTGTTGATGTCAAAGTCTGACCAGCTCCACGCACATCCAAGCTGCCCTCGACGAAGCTATCCTCGGGGACTCGTCGGCGAAAACCACTCGCATTTATCCTTCATCCCTAGTCGAATCCTGGCCAAGATTATTACACATGACTGCAGAGGAAAAAAACCTGGGGTCTGAGCCATGCCGGCCACTGTCAGCTCCTTGCCAGGGAAACATGCAAGTGTGAGTCTTGACACCTCCAACATGAAACGGACTGGCAATGAACTATTGTGATGGAGATGCTTTGCAAAGTAAGCAGGTGAGCTTAGATTCCGGGGCAAGAGGTCAGCCGACCAGTCGCAGAAGTCCCAGAGTGTGACACATGAATCTGTCTGCTGAACACATGATCATTGTAGTATCATTACTGGATCCTTTTCACTAGACAGCTCAGCTCATCGGCTTTAGAACGGCAAACTGTGCAAACAGTTCCTGCAGGTAGCTGCGAAACGTTGTTCCCAAAGCATCGACTGTAAGGCTGCGATTGATGTGCAGCTGGTGCAGAGGCACCTCCGAAAGAACTGACTTGCCACGAGATGCCACAACCTAGACCCGAAGCTAGGCCTTCTGCGCCGGTACTCGTCTGACTAAATCCGCCACGACACCTGTCCACAAGGAGAGAACAGTCGCCTCTCGTCTTCTCATGTTTGACCCAGAAGCCTGGTTTGCTCTTGATCAGCGAGCGTAGGAGGCGAGCAGGTGGATAAGTTGCCCAGTCGACAACATCTCGGAAACCGATGCGATTACTAAAGTTACAGACTTCAAGAACCCGGGTGCAAAAGCCGAGCAGCAGACTGCCAACAGGAGTTGGTGGCGGCGGCAACTTGGCATGACCTACCAAGCCCCTGCTAGACTGCCGGGGCCGGGCAGGCAACGCTGTAGCTAGGTGCAGGAAATGTCTCTGAAGGGATTCGACCTGCCTGTCAGTAGTGGCTCCATCTGCGTCAGTACAGAAGCCAAGGCTGCAGTGGCCTTTCGCGTGTTCTACATCTCGGCCGGGCTCTCCGGGCAGATAAACAATAGACATGCGACTGGTCCAAAACGACTTTGGTCAACCTGCGCTTCCAGTAGCGGTGGTATCTGCGCACAGGCCACGCTCGGTAGCTCCTTGCAACAAGCTCATCGATGACCCTAGGGCCACGGTAACAAGACTCAGGCCTGGTTGACAAACTGCTGCAAGGCAGGCTCGAGCTGAGTCAACGCACTCTCGAACATGAATGAGCCACTGAATCGTAGTCGACTCATGTCCACCTCGTCATGCAACTGGAAGAAAGCCCTTGATGAAAGTGAGCCCCCCCCGGCCGAAAATCTGAGGACGAGCGCTCCAGCCTTACATTGGGTTACCCTCACCCGACCTGGCAGAGTTTCACAACATGTGCATGCGTGCTGCAGTGTTGTTCCGCTCTGTTCGATAGTGGACCTAGGGGCACGGAAAGTGCTGAACCAGGTGGTTGGACAGGCTGCACCTCGACACGAGGCTTGACATCCACATGATGTCCACAAACGAGCAACTGCAAGCTGACTCTGACACAGGACGCACACTGGTCACACTGCTGCCATCATGGTACTCTCAAAACAAGACGAAACTGAACCAAACGGACAAACTCGATGCTGTCCGGAAGCTGCGAACGTCAGGTCCGCAGTGGCATTCTCCAGATAGAAGCCTTGCACTGTGTCAACAACTGTTGAAATGCTTCGCAGTTTTACACACCACCGGCACCCATTTTCCAGTTCGACAACTTCCACAAAATGTTGACTCATGAGCTGAGGTCAACAACGCTGTGAAGCAAAAATCTGGTGGCTGATGTTTTGCTTCAAGGAAACCCAGCATAAGGGTGAGCTGTCGAGAATACAAGCATCGACCCAGACAAGAACAAGTCTAGGGTAATGCACAGATGTGGATCCGAGACAAGTGACCAATTGTGGCAGCTGTCGTGTAACACGGCGGGAACAGCTTGAAATACACTCCGAACCACACAATGAGGGTCCACTTCACATCAACAATCTTTGTCTAGACGTGGCTCAAGTCGACCAGGCATGTTCTTTTGTTGCTCATCGATGTGACTCCGGCAACTTGCTGAAAGACTGAGCCCTGCGCTGGTCGCAAGACTGCCGCCGCTAGCTAAAATGATGCAGTGCAGGCTGGCTTTGACCTGTGGTTCTTTCATGCGCTTCACGTGCAAAGCAGGCTGTCAAGAGCCAGTACACAATGCCAGTTCAAAACCGTCTAACATAACACGGCCCAAGATGTGAATGTGCTTACCGGCATCTCACCTGCAGGCGCAAAGCTGTAGAAATAGCGCTTGTCAAATCAGTTGCCTGCACAGTCAGGTTTGGGTCCTTCGCATGTGGCTTGCAGTAATCGTGCAGAACCAGGATGCTGCACCTTCACATCGCTGATCCTTCACAGCCACATCTTCAAGGATGCGAATGATCTACAACATGACAACCTGGTGCAACATGATCGAAGCCGGTCCTCGTCTGGCTGCAATTGCCACCAGATAATTGCAGGGGATTGCTGAAGGGATTGGCTCCAGGATCTGGGACCTGTGCACAACGCACCAATGCCCTCGCAGCAACCAACATGTTGCCAACCTCAATCTGCAGTTCATAAAGCCATTCCGGAAAAGATATTCCCGACGAGAAGCCACCTTTTTCGAACAAGAAAACGCCGCTTCGTCCCAAACATCAGATGCACATGATTGGGAAAATCGATCAGAATCAGTGGTTGTTTAGGCTGCTGCCCGATTCGTCTGTCCTTATGGAAACCTGCGACACGCATGGTGCCAAAATCAACGAAGCCAACCTCAGGAAGATGCGCGTGGCTGGGTCTACTAGTTGAAGGAAACACTGCACCATTCTGCAGTACCAGGAGCCACAAGGAGCGCGTTGGACGGAGTGCATTTAGCATACTCCTGTTCTTGAGCCTGTATGCCACGAGATGATTCGAAATATGCAGCTGCTTTATCCGAGAGACGGAACCTCCAGACCCGTGCAAAACTGTACAGACAGGCCTTCTCTTCTGTGCATCGGTAACAATTGACAGAGCGCACAAAACAGGCACTTCGAGCAAGAGAGCAGCACCGAAACTGCTTCTATTGCTCCAAGGGCCGAGCAGTGCCAGACTCCGCATCCACATAGATGCTGTCCCGCATATGAGCAAAGTCCTGGTGAAACCCACAAATCGAAACTCACTGAATCTTGCCACATGGCGCAAACACACAGACACGCGCATACACACCAACACATACACATGTGATGGGTCCTCACGACCATTCAATGGACGGACACGAACAAAAACGCGAATCTGCAGGCACAACAAGCACAATTGCAAATCACGGAACTGTGCTTCGATGCAGGCACACCGTGTCTCCACGACCATCTGGTGAGGAGGACCCCGGCGAAGCTGGCGAAAGCCCAGGGTCCGCCGAATCTACGAACACGGCATCCTGAAAGATAAGATAAAGTGCAACGCCACAATCTGCCAAAAGGCAATGCGCAACCTCTATGCTCAATATACTGCAACTTCAAGCACGCCTCAACATCTGCATCGGCGTCTTCCTCCTGCCAGTCCAACACTGCTGCCCCTGAACAGCAAATCAATGCCTGAGTCGCGTCGCCTCCGACATACCGCTCCATCGGTGAAGCCCTATGGAACAGTTCTCCCGCTCTGGCGATGTTTGGTTGCTCGGTCGTGGCTTGAAAGCATAGTTGGCGATGCAGGTCCGCACACGAAAATCGCTATTGATGTGCAATGCCACTTGTAGACACTACAGAATGGTTTTGGAAATAAACATCTATACTTTCATGTTCTTCTATGGGTCTCTCAAATTCGCACCAAGCATGTTGCCATTGCAGAATCAAGCTTGGACGTTTCGCATACAGCAACGTCCATGCTTTATTCCATGGTTATGCCGTGTTCTCCAGCCTCTTGCAAGTGATCCAGACTTTCATATCCAACTGTCTTCCAAGTTAAACAACCTTGTACTTTGCACTTTTCGTCATTTGAAAATGTTCTGTTGCCGCAGCTGTATACGACCTCGAAAAACCTTCAGCTGCTTGTCTACGCAATGATGAACATGGATCATGGAGATGGCACCTGTCTTGTGGAGCAAATGTCAGCAAGGTGTTCAGTTGTCTTCCAAAAATGCGTGGCTTTATCTTTGCTATTTGCAAATGCGAGTGCTTGCTGACTCAGATGGCAAGAACTTGGCTGCTGACCAAAAACAATGCCACTTCAAAGCCTTCACGCGAAGGCTCGAACTCGCCTCTGTCGGCCATAAGCGAGCTCAGTTCCATCCTGCGGCGTTTCATTAAGCCAATATCCCAAGACGAGCGACAAAACGCCTGCTCGATGTCTTTAAGACTACCTTCCAACTTCACGGATTGCGAGTGACGGGCATGTCGCCAGGCCGAAGCAATGCAAATTCACACTTCAATACTCTGGCGAAACTTAACAGGCTCAGTCAAGCTCTTGCCGCTATGCGATGACAAGCAGCGAACAGAACAAATAACCAAATATGGCAACTAGACTTAACATACATTCTTGATTTTCGGAAAGCAGCTTTGGCAGAAAAAGAATGAAAATCGTGCCAAACATCTTGCAGAAAGCTGAGATTTTGCGTCCCCATTGCGTGAAAACCCAGCCTACCGCCACGCCAGCACTTGCTTTTCAAAGTGTGGGACTGTTTTTCTTGCAATGGATAGATGGATTGAGAACTGCCACAGCCGTCTTCGTGATTGTAGCCCAAGCCTTGTTTGCGAAACATATATCACAAACCGTGTAACACATACTATACACTGTACATTTCACATTATATGTTGTATATCTTGTACGATGTAGAATGAGTTATGATAAAACCTGTGTACATCATCACATATGATGTCCCAAACACGTACCTTAAACACGTTTTAATGATGTATACACACAGCGTCCATATAAATATAAATATATATATATATATAGGTATATATATACACATATACTTAGCGATGCATGTTACTTGTATGTGTATATATATATATATATATATATATGTGTGTGTGTATACCATCTATTTTAAGCTTTATGTTGTATGTTAGCTGAAACATACTATGTTTGAAATATATCTTACTAATTTTGTAGTTGTTGACATATGTGTTAAGAGCTGTGAAATGTAACATGCATATATATATATACATACATACATCTATTCTAAACAGGTTCTGT